TGGCGCTCGAGACTGTGTCGTTCCTGCATAATTAAACTGTATGATGAAATTCGAGATCGAGGCATTAAAGACGCGGTTACGGGGCTATAAAGTTGTAATGATAGCTGGCCGAGAAAGGCAAAGGAAAACTCAAGTTTTTTCACACGATTCCTCGCTGCAAGACGTAAGTAATGAAAACAAGTTGGCGCATCATTACATCGTTTCGAATAAATTCTACTTTCGCGTTATTTGTATCCTTTATCTGTTTATTTATCTATTTGTGTTTAGGACCGGTCGTAAAAGATTCCACGTTAATTATTTATTATAGAAAATTGTATCTCAATAAAATGAGTTAGTTTTCACATATAATGTTGCTTATAAGATGCAAACTATGTAAAGCTCAATAATGAATAGTTTTGAAGCTATAGAGCATGTTAATAGACCATAGCTTAAAAATTATCTATTATTGAACCTTGTTTACGATATCTTCTGTTTATCATATTATAAGCTATTACACATTGTACATGAAAACTAATAACGTGCTAATGCATGTAACGTTAACAATGACAACATGCTGAAGAAGTTAGCATTGAATGGGTAAACAGGCCGAAATAGATACACTTCGAGTTTGCTGAGATATAAGGGGTTTCTCTTGCGAAGGGCACAGCTTGTCGCGATAGGCCAACTTTAAATTGCGCCATTGAAACTTTCATCGCGTTTCACAAGATAGATAACTTGGAGCGGCGCTTTACCAGAAGAGAGAGAATTCATGCACGCGTGCTCCGCGAAAATTGCTATGTAAAATGGTACGCGCCTGTGTTCTCCTCACCTCATCCAAAGAAGTTTCGACAAAATTATAAGCTGCACTTGAATTGTTATATTATGGAACGTGCATATAAGCATCGTTGTAATGTATAACATTGTGCTTAGAGAATCATCCGTTGATAAAATAACGAATCGATTATCAATAATGCATTCGACATTTATTATACCTCTGATATACACAAATAGTTCGTTGCAAAATTATCTGTAACACAACATTCGGCAAAAATGAATAGCGAGGTTTAATATAAGACAAATTTAATTTACAAAGCACTAAAATGTTTATAATAGGGTTAAAATTGCAGCAATAATTAAAAAAAAATAAAATTACAATGGAATCGAAGTGATACTGAGAGAAAAGTTTTTGGTAATTTGTGATCATATAATTAAATATTAGAGTTATTACAATGCTGATTAATAATAGCCTAAAGTAATGATCATAATTATGGTAACATGTAATTATATTCAGAAACATCAAGAACTTTTCTCGCATATCACGATCGATTTGCAATATTGCAAATTTAATTAATCGCGAGAAAATGAGGTAAAATAGTTCATGTGTTTGATTGAGATTTCTGAAAAAGAGGATTTATTTATGCATCTTTAACGCTTTGAGATCGAAAGCCAATAATAGCCAACCATTTTGGCGTTACTTCGATTCCGCGCTTCATACCTGGCCGAATCGAGGAAGCTTATCGGCAAGTCACTATACAAACTGCAATGCATTACGCAGATATCATAAAAGTTACGTAACAAATGTATTTAATCTGCTGATGTTGCGATATCGCTTCAGGAAGGTTTCGGTACGTATGCATATAATTCCGGTTTAGTCCCGGATTTCCGGAGCTTTTGAACCTTTCGGGTATATGTGCAGTATTATCTATATGTATATGCTTTTAATAACGCAGCAACTGCACAAGGTAACTTTGTGGACTTCAGAACTTCGCGAATCGACGAGGACTAGGAAGTCGCATACGAGTAGGAGCTGATATCCTAAGCATCGCAATACAAAACTGGCACGGATTCGAGTTTGTATTTATCAGCCTCTGCGAGCACGATGGATTCGCTGATTAATTTCCTTACGGTACACTTACTGCGCGCTCAAAAGGCCGAGTGCTATCCCGGCGCTCCGAGCTGCAAGACTGTAATTAAATGGCACAGCAGCGGATATATATCACTCCCAATAACTAATGTACCGGGATCAATTCTAGTAATGCACCAGGGACGAGGGGGCTCTACCACGAAGAAAAGAGATAGATATATAGACAGATAGATGAGAGAGTGAGAGAGAGAGAGAGAAAGAGGAAAAATTACTCTACGGTTATCCGACTCGACCAGGCGGGACGAGCCAATTTCGTTCAATTAAATCATCAGAGAGAGAATTCTCTCTTTTACTTCATATAGTCTTTCTTTATAAAAAAAGGTCTTCTAGTATATTACGCAACTGTTTAATTATAAGCATAAAAGATATTGCTTCATAATTTATTTCGATTTAACTCGCAATATAATTGCAGCACTTATTTACTGTGACAAAAAAATTTTTTTAAATATCAAAATCGTGAGTTCGTTGAAGCAAGTTCTACATTGAGAATGTCGAGTTTTCAAAGATTATTCGAGGACCCTGCTTTCACATCTAAAATTCATGTGAAATCGATTCTCGCTTTTAGCAAATTGTTTCCTGAATTTCTTCCATTACGAATAATTTCTAATTGGTTATATCAAATAGGTAATATATTTCTGAATATCGCGTAGCGACATAATCAGAATTTAATCTGACGCATAATACGTGAACATGCTCGATTATGACAATAAGGTATGAGTTTCCAAGCTGAGTCTCGTGGGTCCCGGACCCTCTCGGAACTGTCGACTTGCTTGAAATCGATCGATCTTCATTTTCGAAGAAAGGCGTGTGATGTTAGAGCCAGCAAAAGTTGCGATTCTCGAATACGTGAGAGAATGACGGCGGTGAGGCCCCGAGGTCATTTAAGATTGATGCGATAGGTTAAATTAACAGGATGCTCGAATTAATCCATTCTAAATAATCCCGAGTCATCTATCTTACCACCCCGGCGGAACTGCCGGCGACGTACTATGTTCACTAAATTCCTCTTGGCGAGTGACAGAGAATTCACGAACACAATCTTGGTCCATCAACTTTGAACCTTCGAAGATTTTATCTCGTGAAATAATCTTATATATAGAATAGTTTTATATGCACTGATAAAAAGGATAACTGGAATAGTGTAGAAATGAGAGATTTTCCTCAAGTTTACTTGCCTTTTACTTTAAAATACTTGTAATAATTGCAAAGATATTTAAAAACAGAATGTAGATTTACGTTATGTAAAAGTTCCATGAAGAGTTTGTGGAAACAAATTAAAAACAAGTACATCAATTCCAAAATTTCGTTATTTAAATAATTTAGAAACCACAGTGTGCTATCGATGTGATAATCATTAGTATGAGCATCACTGGTTCTACAAGTTTTCAGACCGCTGGTATTTTCACTGATCTTGGCAATTCCACTCGCAATGCTGCATCACTGAGTGCTGCAATTTGCATATGCATAGATAAGATGTAGGGAATCTGTAAACAAACAGCATAAGTTTCGTTGCATTAAATCACTAGTTTATGCTAATATTAAACTAATGTTTGAATATAACACTAAAAATTAATTTAAAACTATTATCAATAATAATTACATTGTTAAAATATATACATATTTTCGTAAACATCTATTTGTTAATCTTGAAAACACGAAAGAGAAAAAGAACGAAGAATTACTTTTTAAATCGTACAATTTTTTCTTGGGATTTTTTCTTTTTGTATTTCTTGTCTCGAAATATGAATTACAGAAATGATTCCACTTTAGTTAATCTGAAATTTTTTTTGGAAGGAAAAGATGTTTTACGTACAGCATCCCTTGAACTCTGAAAGCGTTGGCAACCGCCAGAGAACAATAGATCTGATTAATGCGTGATGGTATCAGCGGCACACAGGTACGGTCAAGCAGCAGACAGTCAATGGCCGCAATTTACACCATCAGCTTTCTGATTGTATCTAATGGACAGTATTCTGCTGACGTAGCCGTTTGATGGCCCAGAACTGGAGCGACTCTCAATAAATCGGCACCGAGGGTCTCCTCGATGACAGTGCGGTCCATATGTAAATTGCGTACTTCTGTTTAGCGGGCGTGTACCGTTTGTATCCGCTGATGAAACCCCGGTGTCCGGAGAACATTAGGCGGAAAGGGGAAATTAGCAAGACACGAGATGATAGTCAGCTAAATAAACCTATCGCTGGGACGTATCTCGGCGAAGTAGCATTGAACTAGTGGACAATTTGTCTTCACCGCGTTCCTTATCGCGTATCTTAGTGTTGCAACAGGTGTTTTCCATGTGCAAATATCGAAAAATTATTTTCTTAACAGTAAAATGTCGACACAGTACTTGGTTGACGCGACATTCTTCCGACGCAAGCAATAATTTGTCTGCTGCGCTTATGTATGGTTAACGCGATGATTCCATTGCTGTTCTATAAAAAATCACATACACATATTTTGCTAAAGTATACAGCTGGAAACTTTGTGTTAAATTACATTTTGTGTGTTCCAAACGGTACACTCAAATTTTTATGTTAATTTAACAAGATGAATATGTTAGAAAGTAATACAAATATATTAGGTATGCAAGAGAATAAATAAAAAAGATATAATATTGATACAGTTTGTAAATAAACTGTGGATTTCTTTCAGAAAATTAACATTTATGATATGTTAAATTAACACGTATTTTATCCTCTCTCGTCTCAGAATTTATGTTTTAAAACAAATTATTTTTATATTGTTCACTTACTCATAAATTTTATCATTTTGACACTAAAAAACTTTATATATCAAAAATACTTTATAAAAAAGTATATAAAAAAAGAGTCCTTTAGTTTGTTTTTTAATTTTGTTTGTATATCAATTTCGCACAAAATCTTCAAATAACATAATGTTGTCGCATTATGTTAAATTAATACTCGAATATGATAAAAAAATTCAATACAAACTGTCAACAAGAACGTAAGTGCACCGTTTTCAACACAAATACATAATTTTTTTACTGTGTAGTAGAAAAAAATCGATATGGCGTGAATTTATAAAGCCAACTGATCGTAGTGTATTTATCGAAGAAAAATACTTGTCTTTATTGCAGATACTACTTGGCTACTTCGGAACACAAGTCGGCAGTTCAACATTTGTACAGAGTGTCATTGGATCCGGGGCACAAGTCGACGTGTTTGACTTGTAACATTGTCAGAGAGAGGGACCGCAGCCGCTGTTTATACAACAGTGCTAAATTCTCCATTGACAATTCGCATTACGTGCTCTCTTGTGCCGGGCCTGGAGTACCCGATATATCTATCTACAATAAGGTACGCACCTCTATCTGACGCTTTTCTATTTTATAGTGCTTTCTAAAACTTTCTCGTAAACTGTTTTAAAAAAAATCATTCTGTTTAAATTTCGCAATTAAAAGAATTTAGAAGAAAGAATTTAGAAGAAAGTTTTGCTGAAACGTGAAAATAAGATTTTATGTTATTAATTATTTAACTGATGGCAAACAGGTTATTACGAAAACAGGTTTGATGCGTTTAATAAAAAAAAAATAGAAATCTTTGAAGAAGTTAATTTGTATTATTACCCTGCGATGGGTAATAATACAAAACACAGAGAACGATGTACTGTCATTTTTCCATAAAATACACATACCCGGTATACTGAAGCTTTACATATACATAATCACTTCAGAATGGCATAGAATATAATTATGCATTACATGATTTGCATAAATTACTCATAAATTCCAATCTTTGAGATAATTAATATCCGAAATTTGGAATAATAAGCATAATCCGTCAAATTTGGATCTCTAATTTCATCAGGAAAGGGAACGTAACAGGTATCTCATATATTCTCGCTTTCTCTCGCACTAGTTCCAGCTTTGAGTGCAATGTTACTGCTACATAGCACGTTTGATAGGTTTCATCAATCATTACGTTGTATGCGTCCCGGATTTCTACAAATTTGAATCCCTTCCGAATAGAATGAGAGAGAGAGAGAAGTTGTGTATAGTATATTCAGTGAAATTCCTTTTGCTCCGAGCGTTGCATTACGAATCACAATATTATATCCGGAACCGCGAACAATGATCTTTCGTATCTCACACACGCGCACACATTTGCATACGATATAGACGTATGGATGACAGCCGCGTAATTCTGCTAGTGAGAGGTACACGTACCGCGGTAGGCCACTATCAGACAACCGAATCGAATAAATTTCGTTACAGCAATAGAATACGCACGTAGTAGGTACTATGCGTCCACAGTTTAGTCCCGGCACGCTGCGCTGCGAGTAATATACGAGCGACGGTCTACTCTTGCTGCACCGGTGCGGTGGTAACGGCATAACAAAGCTCGACCCGAAATACCGTGCGCACAAAACACATTGCACCCGTGATACCGTTCGCTCTGCCTAATCAGATTGAAATCACGCCGCGACAGATTATCGCGACATTGTTGGCGACCTCGTAAAAAATACAATACACGCGAGAAGCAATGCGATCGCACGCGATTGCACGCGGTATCAAGCCGTGAGTGCTTTCGCTGTAATCTCGTATTGTTTTTGAAATCCGTAGGAAGAGAATAATTAAACGCATAAACTAAAAGGCCATTTATTTCGACACACGTGTAATTACGTCGTGCGTGTTTTGATAGTGTAATTAAAAGTTTTATAGTAATTAAATGTTGAAAATAAAAAATTAAAGTAAAAAAAAATGTAGGCTTTTATTACGATTAAATTGTTGGTTATTGAGAACTGAGCTGATGCCATATTTTAAAGTGGCGGTGTCGCAAAACTGTCGAAATTTTGTCTCGGTTGTCGCTATTTGACCGCGTGCCTGCAATCGTTTTCGACTCGGTCACGTTTTGTATCAATTTCCAATTTCACTACGTAAATAAAACACGTTGAGAGAAATGGCGCAATCAACAACGGTCGCTGGCTAGAATCGACGATTCAGAAGCGTCGCGTATAAATTTAATAACTTACGGAGTGGACAATGTTGCTGAATGAAATAAAATTTGTCGCTTATAGTCTTTAGTATAACACTCGCTGAAAAAAGTTCAGCGCCACTTTTGAGTTATCAGATAACTTGATCACTTAAATTTCTCTCTCTAATGAATTATTCATTAAATCTATCACATTTAAATTTAAATTATTAGAAATACTGCTTGAACGATATTAAAATTATGGAAAATGTTTGTTGAATATTTTGTAAAAGCTGAATAATGAAACAAAATTTGTAATACCTACTTTTCTTTAATGAATACACAAATATAGGAATTATTTAGTCATAACTTTTCTATTTATAAAACATTGCTGTGATATGCATTCAAAATTACATTACGATATCATCGCTTCTATAGTGACATTTTCGGTAACGCTTGTATCGAAAACATGATGATAATGACATCATGTAAAGTCATGAAATTAATAATTACGCGTGTTTGTGTCAACAATAAATATTACTATTTAATAAGTTTTAACCTGTATATTGAGATAGCTCATTGAAATTTTCATATCATACGGTTTCTAGATGAATAATATCGATAAAGATATTAACGAGAATCTTTCGACAAAAAAGAGATAAAGTTAAAAAAACTAATTGTAAGTAAAACCTATTCGTATTTCTATATTTGATGAACTATATATATTTTTAATATTTATAAAAGATCTCAATTGAAAAGTCTAACTTGTCGCACGGAATTCCGATAATTTCATACCGCGCGTGATTTTAATCACAACTTGAACTGCCTCTTTCTCTTTCCGAATTGTAACATTCGACAAATAAAGCATATTTAATTAATTAGCAGGTTTAATTTATTAATTAACGATGATCAACATCAATGAAACCGTGAAACAGGTTGTTATTCATACGTAAATATAAAACTTGATTAACTCATATTAGCACAAATACGTGTTTACTTCCCATACTCCGACATTATGACTTCTAATTACTACGTTTTAATCTTTAACAAAAACATATTTGTGTAGCAGAGCGAGGATAGGTCAGCAAGCGTGTTATATACGATCTTAAAAAGCGTTCAATATTTCGTCTTCATTTATGAATTTTTTCCGTGAAGTATACTTATTGTTATTATTTTTTTTAATATTACATTCTTTGTACCAAAATTCTTTCAAACTTTTTTAAATTTATTATTTTGTTTTAAATGAATAGCAATAATATGTAAGAATTTATTTTATACATATATATATATTACTTGTAATTATTAATTGCAGAAACGGGAATAAAAAGCATAATTTGATTGAAAAATCTTTACTTTTATATATATATAATCGCAATAAATAAAAATCATATAAAATTTAAATTGATTAATTGGAATAAAGTTATATACATATAAGATAAATTATAAATACATCTCTCAAGAATGAATTCCACTGCATTCATTATTCTTTGATTATACATTTCTCGTGAAATTTCGATCCAGAATGACTTACCATAAGAATCTGAGTATGTAGGTATATCAGGCAAGCAGGAGCTCCTCCTCAGACCGATTTTACTCTTCCCTCTTTCCAGTCTATCTATAATCTATCCGTCCATTTGCTTATTCGCCAATCTACTTGCGCGCCCGTCGTTCTCGGAGAAAAAGTTTGCGGTCGGATGAAAGTTTCATTACTTTCGATAATCAAATTCCTCCGTCGGCTTTCCATGACGACAGATGGGTCGGAGCACCGTAAATTGCCGGGGCGAGAAAAGGAAGAATATATAGCAAAAAAACGACGAATTTTGTTCACACACGAAAGAGATCCAAATCAGCAAATTAATATTATAATAACAATTGATTTCCGACGAAATAAAAATTTATGTATCACATATTTTCTATTCACAGTAAAAATTAAAATAGATAGATCCATATTTGCTTGTAATATAAGTGTAAATTATAATATATGATAAACGGCGTGACTCTCATATAAGTCCAATTTTATCTTAATTTATTATATACGATAAAATTTAATAAAGTACACTAATAGGAAATAAAGACACCCTCATAACGGTCGAAGCTGGATCGTTAATGCTTAAATAATTTCATATAAATTTATATATGTTATATATGTACGATGTATGTATACATACATAACCAAATCTGTAGTCATTTAAACTGCGCGCCGAATGAATTTCTTTTAACTTATAAACGCAGCTAAACTACTGTAACAATATTACAAGTAAATTTTTAATATTCATTAGGCATCTATTAAAGAGATCTTAATATGTTGGAAATCTGTAAATAAATTTATTTATTGCAAAAAATATTAGCTCATCCGGCAGTCGAACTCGGATCTTTAACATTCCGTCCTCAGCCTTTAGACCACTTTAAAGATTTAAATGACTACAATTTAGACCAAAAATAACAAATATAGTATACTAAACTAATATTGTAAAATAAAATATAAATTATACACGGACTAAAAAAGTATAAGTACTAGATTTTTTAAATTGCATGTGATACGTTCGGGATTTCAAAATGTCTAGATTCACCACAGTGCGATTATTAAAGTATTCCCGATTTATATCGGATTATCTCCTTTATAATCTGATTACCGCAGCGACAGATGGATGAAGAAGAGGAGGAGTAGTGGAGAACTTCGAGGGCGCCTAACGCAGAATATCGCGAATCCATGTGCTTTATCGCGATCAACGGAGCGAAAATCTGACTATCCGGCACCTTTATTGCTTATTTTCTCGCCGCTTAATGCTGATAATTGGTCTTCTTGTCCGGGAAACTGTCGACAATGAGCATTAATTCAATTACATTACAAAGAGACCTTGTCGATGAAATTCACGCTTGAAGACCATGCGGACAGTTTACTTTTCTTCGACTTTGTTCGTTTTAATTTACGCGAATTTTCGTAAATTTGTCTTTTGCTTTAAAAATCTACGTCGAACAATTATAGATAATCTTGATAATCGCATTTATATATAAAAGATCTGATTCACTTTTATTATATTATAATAAGTTGCGATATATTTTACGAGTTACACTCACTATATCCGTTAACGATTTGACATATAGATATCTTAACGAAAATTTTCCATAAACGCATTGTGATATTATATACTGCCATAAGTTTTTAATATCAATTTTTCGAGGATTAATAAAGCAATTTGTTACACGCACGAATGTTACACGTGCATCATCGAAATCGCAAACAGGCACGTACAAAATCCCCTCTGGAATCCCTTTGTTGATCTTCTCTGCACTTTGACGCGATTTATGAGGCACTCCTGCATGCCGATCCAATTACGTCGATATTATGATACAGACTATTATCGAAATTTACAAAAGGCTCAAAGTGGTGCCAATTGATCGCGCTTAACTTTTCGATATGCTATTATTATAGTCTCTGCTATACGTCGAAGAAACTTCTACATTGTTCCCTACAGGAAAATTGATGTATATAAATTGCGCAGCGAGATTTTTCCATTAATTTGTAGTTGATTCTTTTTTCTTGCAAACCATTAATAATGACTCTAACTCGCAATCATTTGAGAATACAATTATAGTTATATTGTATTTCCATAGTGTGGTTCTGATTCGTGACTGAATTTTCATCCAATCACAAACAATCAAATAAGTAAGATATATCATTTCAACTTCCCTCTTAACGCTGGAAAGAAAAAAATATCCGGCTTTCAGAAATTCATGAGGAAACACAAGTTAAACGCGAATGTCGAATTATTTTTTTTTAATAAATTATGTATAGAGCTAGGAGAGAGTTAAAATAAAATTTTACTCAAAAATTATTTTTATTTGAGAGCGATTTTTTAAATGACTGAAAAAATAGGTTTCTGTTATATATATGGTAGGAATCTGTTTTTTGTCTTTCTTAAGTTAAAACATACACTGTAAAATTAACGCTAACCTAAGATAAAAGAAGTATGTGTGAATGTGTGTGTATCTATCTACACATATCCTCTATATATATAGAGTATATGTAGACAGAGCGGACTAAACTGAATCGAAAAACCCTATACTATTTTGCAATTTTCGCAATTTTTTTGTTATCCAATGAACAGAATGCTAAAATCGATGCATAAAACAACTTAAAAGATTTTTTAAGAGAAATATCTTTAAGATATATCTACTTTATGAAAAGAAATCTTAAAGTTGTCTTATGCATCGACTCTTTTATCCGTTTATTCGATAATCTTTAGAAATTGATATATCTCGTTAATTATTGCGAAAATTGCAGAATGATAGAGGACTTTGTTCGGTTCAAATTAATTCACTCTATCTACACACGAGCGCTTTGTCAAAACTTATCGGACACCCTGTATATCTGCCATATCCGGTGCAGTGAAGCGAGAGGGAGGAAAAAATATATATTCGCCTCTCGATCGAAAATCGATATCGTCTCGTCATATCGCGATCGGTACGAGATTTCCACAAAAGCCAGAAATCTCGTCAGATCGCCTGTCATTCGACGAAGAAACTTCGGTAACGTGGAGAGCCAGAACGCGAGAGCCCGAGAAAAAGTTCGCGGCGATGCAAAATCGAGATTCGCCGTCGGGTCGACGGCGAACTCGTCGAGTGCTCGACGCACAAAAGCATCGCAGATTGCGCGTTACATTTGCCCCGATCCTCAGGAGGGGGTTGACGGGCACGGAACTCGCGGCGGGTAAACTCGATCGCAAAAACGCCGACCGGGAACTTTAGCGGGCAAATCGTGGCGACGCCCTTCCGCGAGCATTGGCCCATTCGACTTTTCTAATGCAATTTTTTATCACGGGATATACCGCGAACTCTGTTCCCATTCCCCGTCGAGGAGAAAAAAACTATCCGGACAACTACCCGGGAAAGTAGCTGCCCTTCGAACCGAATCGATTTCAACCGGCAAACTACGCGGAGGGTGCGATTGAAGTTACGAACTACTTTAGGAAAGGCAAACCGCTAAACGTTCTTCTGATCTTACGACTTTCCTCAGAACTTTGCGGGAGTGTCTCCAAGTATGTTGACGATGTTATTCACCGTTTTTGGTGTGTAACTTATCGCGATTATGGCGATGTCAGAATCAGGAAGTGACCAGCGATCTATGGCGTTCAAAGCGGATGAAGATAGAAGAAAAATTGCTTTAAGAAGATAGATAGTGTCGCTGTTACTATGCCGGATGAATATCATAAATGATGAATGACCAGTTAATGTACACACGAAATAAGATTAATGTTCATTTAATTTGTAACATATTAAAGCTTGTATTCATCTGGTGCTGATTAATATTCTTTTAGCTTTAAATGTGATACCTAGATCACAATTTCACATTTCTGTTGTTGAAATTTAACTTTTTCATCAAAATCTTAGGTAATGATGTTAAACGAAGTAATTATACATTAAAAATAATATTAAAATAAATTAATATTAAAATAATATATTAATTAATTTTTTTAACTTTCTGTTTTCAGAATAGCACATTGCTCACCGTGTGGGAGGACAACAGTGTAGTAAGTGATATAATAATGGAAAGATCGCAGCCGATCGTCCGTAAATACAAAGTTCAAGTTCCTGGTGGTTTCAATGCCCAGGTGAGACTCCTAATACCACCTGGTGCTGACATGAGCGGCGCCACCAAGTATCCCATGCTGGTTTACGTGTAAGTTCCTTAGTTTTTACAACAAACAAAAAATTTCTCTTAGGTAAAGAGAGAGTATAGGCAAAATCAATATACTCTCGCGTTTGTTACACACTTTTGTCGAATAATTTAAAATCGTTTTCGCATTTGAATAAATAAAAAACACGTTATATATATTTGATTTTTTATCAATTACAATTTTTTTTATATAGTAGCAAAATACTATAGTATATACGAAATGTTTTACACGCGAAGAATATTTATGAATGATTTACGTGAATCTTTATTTGATTGACATATTTTATGTTTCGTATTTTTAATTTTATATTTTATCGCGCACACGTATTTTATGATTAATTATATCTCATGTTAGTTCCATTTTCTGGAACTATAACGTTTTGCTGAAATATCTAAAAATTTCATTAGGTATACATGAACAGATCTGAATAATTTGTTAGATTATCGAAATAATCATGTACAGAACGCTGATTATTTTTAAGAACTCACTCGAGAAACATATTTAATTGATACATATTTAATTTCACAATTGCTAAAATTATGACAGGCATTGAACACTGAAGAATTCAAAAAAGTACTCTTCCGCTATCATTGAAGTTTTTAAATTACGTCGTTTTTCGGCGTCACTTATATCTCGGCATTCACTTAAAAAGCAGCCATATTTTCCGTGGCGCGACAAGAAATGTGACAACGCACTCCGCAGGCGTCATCAATCGGTTCCGTCATAATGCACTCGCGAGATAAGCGTAATGGAGGAGCCGGTGACGAACGTGCGGCAGCGGAGCGTAGTCTGCACCGTGACATGAAAACGAAGCTCTCCTTTACGTGGTTTGAATTAGGACGGGATGTAAAACCGCACGAGAAGCGATGAGTCATTCCGTATTCAGTCTCACGATCGAAAACTTCAGCAGTCTTCCCGATAAAAGCGAAGCGCTATCGATCGATCCGCCACCATATTTCTTCTAACGATGAAGAAATAGTCGAAATAACACGTTCGTCAAAGAGAGAGCTCGTAAAATCAAATGTTTGCTTCCAATCTTCTTAATTTCTTTTTTCAATTTTATTTTTAACATCGAGTCTGTTTTATATATTAAAATATAGTTTTTAATTTTTAAATGCAATTTTTAAATTTAATATTTTGGAGACAAATATTTTTATGTTTCATTAAAATCAGTACATATAGGAAGATATAACGAAAATTATTCGTTTACATCGATTACGCTTGTGTGAATCGACGGTAATCTTGTTACGAGAAGTTAATTCTTCTTTAAAGTAATTAGTCGTTGTCGTAATAGTCAGCGAGATGAGCTTTTCATGTTTTCCGCATCTAGAAGGTGCACATGTACGCGGCAATGACGTCGTCGGTGAGCACGACGCTCGAGACCGATATAACTTTCCGGCGTAAATCCTAATAACACCTAATTTGTAGGCGGTCCTGACCGAGCTCAAACTTTTGAAAGTACAAAGAGTTAGCTTACGATGGAAGTTGCCACGATGTCTGTCCCCAAAGTGCAAGCTTCATGTTGCACATTAACGGTCAGGGCAAAGATAATAACGTGATCGTTAAGAATATTTTATGTATTCTTTTCTTAGAATGACTGTGACTTGTCATCAAATTTTAATTCAATGGAATTTTATGAAAACATATTTAACATCGGAAAAAGAATCTGTATTGTTTTGATATACCACCATAAGCAGTTGTAATATTGTAAACTTATTAAGATCTATTAAAATTCATTATCATCATATTTTATAGATTTATCAAACTCATTAGATTTATTAATATTCATTAAAATTGATTTATCTGATATAATTTTATATTAATTGTCATGTATACGAAGAAAAAATTCAAAAGAGAATGCCAATTATGATTACTTTTACATATTTTAAATTAAAAAAATTCTCTCATTAACATATAACTCTCTTATTAGAAAGCAATTTAGTGTTTCTTTAATTTCGCTTGTCTTGTGTGAAAGGAGAGAAAACAAAAAAACATTTATATTTCTAAAAAAAATCCTTATATAAATGGTAATCACTAATTTACATGTCGATTTAAACGCTGCGTCTCATTAGCAACTTGCATTAAACGTTTTATCGACTTTTGAGAATACAAAATGACGCCGAGTAGCGCAAAGTTAAATTCATAGGAGAACTATTGCAATTGCCACAGTAGACGCGTCGAGTTCGATCGACGATGGCGAGTAAAGAGAAGTTTGAGCTTCTACCATTCGCTTTATAGTGGAGTAATTGTACTGTCCTCGTGTTTTGTGTATATGCGTGTATGTGTGCGAAACAGTATATTGGATCGCGCAGAGTTTTCACATATCACGGGTATTCGGGTGATCACTTGTTCTCTCTGGTTTTCAATGAAATTTCCTATACATTCACACAGTCTAGATCATTGATCGCGACGCTCAATGTCCGTGATACGAGACGTTTTCGAAACTAACAGTAGGACCATCCGCCTCTCCATGAAATCAGTACTCTCGATGCTGTTAAATGTGTCTCTTTCTTCCTGCATTTGCGATCAATAAAAACTGCTGTGTGTTTCTAGCACGCGACCCCCACAAGCGGTATTAAAGCGCGTCTCGACGAAAAAAAATTTAACGAAGAAACAAGGGTGTAAATGCATGAAAATAGGATGATAACATCATTAAAGATTTCGCTACTACATACTATACGTATAAAGTTTCTATTATATCATTTTATACTGTTATAAATTCATAATGTCAAATTATATACCCAATTTGAATGATTTTTAACCATTTCTATAAAAGTATAGACATTACTACTCTTACTCAATATGTCGTTAATTTAACTAAAACAATAGAATTAAACAACTTAACTTAAGAATTATATTAAAAACTTGACCAAAATAAATTGATTTACATTTGACACATATAGAAGTAAAAAATAACCAAATGTTTAACGTAAGGGATTGAATTATTATTTCCTTTGATGTTTAACAGTGTAGAGTCGAATGACATTCTTGGCTGCGTTCCGTTATTCATTGCAAGTACTGAAAATTTATAGTATACGTAACGCGAACTATAAATGTTCAGTACTTGCAGTGAATAACGGAACGCAGCCCTTATAATTATAAAATGCATTTAAAAAAAATTTCTATCGTCTTTTTTTTCTTTTTTTTTTCAAGTACGATGACAACGAACGATACTAAAACTGTATAATGCTCAATTTAATAACATTAGTACTCTATTTTCATGCATTTATGCACTTGATGAGGTATCTCGCTCAATGTAAGTATGCTATATCAAATTTTCTGTTGCGATACAATAACAGCGACACGATGAAAAGCACCGCTCGATATCACGTTTCTAGCTACCGTAATGCAATTCCAACTCGTAAATCCAACTCTTTATCCAATTCGCTTTATTATAAAGACGTGGAGTATACTCATGTGATTACGTCGCTCTCTGTGTCGGAAATAGCACGATATTACACGTGGCACAATTTACATGCGTATTACATGAGATTACTGCAGATCAGGATAATGTCAACCATACCATACAATATGCATATATACATATGATTTTAAAGCGTGATACGATAACAGTGACTAATTTCTAAACGATATTTTAATTAATAACTCTTAACACAGTGTGTGTCAAAGTTCACTTTACTGTCTCAGATGCAGATTAAAAAATAATAAAAAAAACGCATGTAAATATATAAATAAATGTGTAATTTTCCAATTCAAAGAATTATAATTTTTTTAATTTAACTGTTATTTTTGCTAATTTTGAGTCTGATTTGAGAATTAATAGAGAAATTTGTTATAAATAATCAGACTCTATGGCTTAGTACCCAATATAATCTACTCGCTACTGTATACTTATCCATAAATATCAAGTTTTATTAGATCATCAAAATAATTATTATATGTAGGCCGTCCAAGATGATTGCTCAAATATCAAAACTTTTGTGGAATTGTTTATTATGTTTGAGCATTCTATATAATTGTACTTTGATGGTCCAACAAAATTATTTTTAGATTTATATCTAACTTTTTAAATTCTCTCTCTTTAGCAAAATCGTACTTTCCGTGCAATTTAACATTGATTAATCACATTATATAAATATCTAAAATGTGTTTTCAAAAATTTTTTACTTTTTTAACATAATTATTATAAGAAAAAAATGCATATGTAAAGAAACAACATGCTACAAAACTAATTAGCAATTAATCACGCGCGTGTTTTAATAAATAATAAAAAATGATACAAGATATTTTCTTTCTTTTTTCAGCAATTTTATATTTTTGTCTTACGTTTATGACTTTCCTACGCCATCTAGTGTTCGATAGAGTAGATCATCGATTATCATTACGGTCTCTTTCGCTGCGATCGTATGCGTGTTTCACGAGAATATTGTCAGCGTATCAGGGACATTCTCGAGAACATTCACGTTTATACCACGCCATCCTCGGGATCGTTACTATCCGTCTCTATTTCCGCGTCAATGTTCCTTCTTGAAAAAAAAATACCGTATCAGAAAAGCCATCTTTGTTCTCGAACTTCCATTTCCTAATTCTTGTCACCATTTGGCATCTCTTTTCCTGCAACCCCTCGTCTCCAAACCTGTTCCGCAGAAATGGTACAAAGACTTTCTCGCAAACGACCGTTAAGAGACGTAATGAGAGTGGAAGCCGAGAAAATTGCTCGCTAAACAATCAGTAAACTAGCCAGTTATATTTATTAAATGATAAGATTAGGATTTTTTGTTTACATAGAGGAAAAGACCAATTTGGCCAAGCATATTGCATGCGTCTAAAGTCTAAATTAACTTAATTATCGAAATCATATCGCATTATACCATCTTAATTTCTGTTATTTTTAAATATATTGACAATATCATAACTGTTACATGTAATAAATATATGTTACCATTAGCATTCTTTATTTATAAATTATTTAATATATAGGGTAATTAAACTCTCCGTCCGACAATGTAAAATTTTATTCTTTTATCCACAACCTCTTGAGTCTTCGAACTTCAATGCAGACTTTTATATATATTATTTCAAACTGTATAAAAATTTGAAAAAAATTTTACAATGAATTTTTACTATAATGGATATTATGTACTTATTTGTTTACAGATTTTAATTTATGTTGCAAAAAACTTACAATGAAAAAGTCAACTGCGCCTTTAAAGTCGAGCACTATCGGAAGATTAATTTCTTTCTCTCTCATTACATTTTTCAAAAAATTGTCATTATACAAATTTTCAAAAAATTAAATACCAATATAAGCCTCTCAGAAATATGAATTGAGGAGAATATTATTTGCTCTGTAATGCTTCTATAATTTATGCAACTGTAAAGGAATCAAGTGCAGCATGCATAATAAACAAATACGTTTATACGTGGAATTGTAAATACATACGAGCGATAAAAAATATCGTTCTGACGATCTGTGTTACGCAACTGTTTGCCTTTCAGGTACGGTGGTCCGGATTCGTATCAGGTGACGGAGAAATTTAATATTGATTGGGGCACGTATCTTGTAACAAACAAAAGTATTATATATGCTGCCATTGACGGTCGCGGCTCTGGATTAATGGGAAATGATATGATGTTTGCCGGATACCGACATCTTGGCACTGTCGAAATTGTCGACCAGATCAACGTTACTCGGTAAGTCTATTATCACGAAATAATTCTGATGATGAACTTTTATTTTCCAAAAAATTATTCAATATTGAGTAGAAGTTAAATTAATTAAAAGTCTTCCGAATCAATCGTACTCTAAATAATAAATTTCTATGTTTATATTGGAAATTTCAAAGTAAAATTTTTACAATTTATTTATAATACGTAAAACCTTGAATCCTAATAAGAAAACACAGGAGAGACTTTTCTCGATTTTAATGAGTTCTTATATATGAGTTCTAATATATTATAGTCTAAGCCAAAATAAGGTAGGAGTTGTAATCTTTCGACACAAAAATCAGTTAATTTTTTTAAAGCGAATATTATTGAAACTATAAGAGATCGCAAAATTTTTTAAATAAAAGTTGAATGATTTAAAAAATAGATACTTTGTATTAACACTAAAAACATTTTTTATTGTCTTTAAATAAAGTACATTTAAAACTATTTAACTTTTATTAAAACTATTTTCTCTCTTATAATTTCGACAATATTGTATTGTTTCTTTGAAAGAAACAAACCCATTTTTGTCAAAGGAGAATTTCATCCCTTAAAAGTGCATACAGATCCGTATAAAAAAAGTCTCTCATTTTGTTCTAGATTACAACATATCAAAAATTTATTAAACTTGAAATTAGAAGGGAACATTTCCCTGCATTTCTGTGTAAATTTATTTTATTAAAGCCCTCTCAGCAAGACCTATTCTCTGCTAAACCCATTTAACGCATCCCCGTACATTTTTTTTTCTAAAGGAGGATTTAACTTATAACAAGCGTAGTCGTATTCCATATGCACGTAGAGTAAGACGTATATTATATTTACCGCGTTTACGCCACGTTTACACATAGAAGATGCATTAAATCGTTAACCCAAGATTGCCTCCGACACCAACCGCCGAGATAACTCTTGAAGGTGATGTTAATGAACGAACGCAGACCATCGCAGGCAGAATCTGAGGCCAAACGTGATCGTCCCTTGGAAGTGCGGCGAACAAAGTTTTGCTTTAGGACAAACCTAATTACAGACGAGGCCTCAAAGTGACTTATCATGGCGCGATCGGAGTAATTCGCTAAACCCTAAGTTAACTAATCTAACTCCGACTCCCCAGACACGTCTAAGGACCGTGTTTAACGAAGTTCTTTTCACAGCATAGGTACTTGAGAGAGATAGAGAGGGAAAGAGAGCACCGCCGCCGCCGCGTTAACAAGAAGAAAATTGCTCGTACTTTTATCTGAATTTATCGGCTGACCCTCTCCTCCTATCCACCGCTGCGCCGTCGAGTGGCGGGCACCACGAAGAAGAGCTGCGTTCTCCTCTCGTATTTCCACTTACCTGTCATGAGTAATTTATCTCGATGGTGGGAAAAGGGTGAGAGAAAGAGGAAAAGAGGAAACGGGATCGGTATAGTTCGCCACTTCTATGACCGTCCATCTTTAAACCGAAACATCAAACTTCCGGTCATGATGAATAATGCCCATTTCGCGTCGGAGGTCGTGTTTTACCATTTAAGCGACAACGCACCGCAAGCTCGACGGTACGCATAAACCGACGATTCCGCAATCTCCGCGTGGAATCTCCGGATGGAATTTAGTAAATATATAGCAACAAGAAATTAGCGTAGTGTATAAAGTAAATGTTGAATTAGTAGATACCATTGTAAACGAAACGCACAACCACATCGTACACTTAATAGTTTTCTCTTCATTTTGCCAAGATTTTATCTTTGTCACTTTCAGAGTTCTGCTTTTATTTTTTCCTTTGACGACTGGATTTCTTTTCGAATAATTATACTGTAGTAATAACACCAGAAATATTGCTACAGAATTGCTTTCTCATTGTGCGTTCTCAAACGTTTTATTATAATAACTTCATTATTTCTTGCCTGGCGAACCATTTTTTTTTTAAATCGTTGCTATAATATTCGTAAAGGAAGACAACGAGTTCGCACTTGCTTATATTAAAATACAAATCACAATGCAAATAAAAAAATTAAGTTGTACGTAATTTATCTAATTTGTTATAAACAGAGATTTTTTTTTCTCGTAAAAAGAGTCGTGGAACTTTATTTTCTTTTTTTATTATGATAAGAACTTTACTTTTCAGAGTATCAATCTATAAGCAATCAAAGTACATAAAAGAATACACGAGGAACACCTGGGGACACTTTGTGCATGTATTTTAACCTCAGTACTTAAATATTAAAAAGATCAAATGGTACCATCGATGTAGTCTGTATCTTTATTACAACAAACGTTTATATAAAGAATATCGTAAATAAAACAAAAATTTACGCTCATCAAATATCGCGACGTGTAGCTGTCGATATTGCAGTCATCTTTATTAATATATCTATAAAAAAAGAATAACCTTATGCGTAGGATATACTGCTCCAGGTTAAAAGTACGGAAACATTTTTTAAAGATTTAAATTTTTTAAAGTACTCTCTTGTTCGAATATCCATAACAATTTCAACATTAATTTTTTACATCCAGTAAATAACTAAATATGTTATTAGAATTTTGTTAAATAGATAATTTTGACTGATTTTATATATTTTTTATATTGATTCTCATGATGTTAAAATTTATTCTATGGACTCCAACATTTTACTAACAACAGCTCATATGGAGTTTTTTCTTAAAAAATTTAATTTATTTTTGTTTAAAGTTTTTTATAATGAGTAGAAAATCATGTTAAATTCAGAGTATACTTTATGAATTATTTATTTATATATAAACAGAAGAGATAAAAGTAAAATAATTATATATATATAAAGGCAAACAGATTTAAAAGCAGCAAAAAAATATCCTTTAAATACATCCATTTCTCTATCAAAAAATGAATTTAACACAAAAGATTGAAATTTTATCGACCAGGGTTATTAATAAAAAAATACATTTTATTATGATTATTTGAATAAATATCAATTTCTAAAAAGTGTTTTCAAACTTTTGATTTGAAGTGTACGCTTTTCAATGCATTTCCTTATTGAGCATTATGGAAATTTTAGCGGCATAGTATAAAATTTTAGTTGCGAGCCTCGAGATCTCTCATATTAATTACAGAATAATCCAATGGACCTGAATTTTTTTTAAATGATGTTTAATCGCCAATATCAAATGGTATTTGCGAAAACGGAAGCGTATTCTATCCGCACGTTTCCCTCGTGTTTTACACCGTGGTATTTTGCCGATGCATCGTCCGGCACATAAAAAGCTATCAGTCGCGGAATTGGGAGAGAGCCAACGATTGCGGAATCGTCCAACTTTTTTCAATCCGCGGCAGAAGCTCTTCACTGGTCGCCTGCGCCCCTCACGCTTTCGTATCATCCTTCCTCTATGCTTCAACCCTTCGTGAAACCCCAGCATTTTATCTTCTTTTTGCCGGCCTTTGTTCCGTCATCAAATCGACTAACCAGACTGATTAACCAGCTAGTCCCTGACTGCCTCACTCGGTGGTTCTATGACCGCTTAATTGGTGAATAACGAGTTACGTAAGTAGCGTTGAAACGTGGAAATCTTGGGGACAGTGACGCACCCCTCGTAATGATCCTTTAAACGGGGAGAGCGACTAACAATCGTTTCTCTTTAAAGGGGGAAAATCGTAGCTCCGTGCAAGCATTCGTAGTTGATTCTATAGGACTGAGTGTCGCAGGTAATTAAACAATAAGTAGCAATCATGCGAATGTAGACAAGAGAGATACAAGAGAACAGAGACAATAAAGATATGAAAGAATAATTATTTATATATGCGATATTAATAAAGTAAATATTAATAAACTGTTAGTTTAACACATTCTGTGTACCGCGCCGATTTTAATTATTTTAAACAACTTGATCACCATACCATGTGATCCATAGTACTTTTATTTGTTATATTTATTGAATAACATGTATCTCATAATATAATGTAAAAAAGGTTAAAATTATTATTATTCTTATTATTTTCGTATTCTTTTATTATTTTATTTTATTTTATTTTTTTCTTTGATAGACAAAATATCGATTATAAGTAATTGTTTTATCTCATAAGTATAAATGATTAGAACTATTTATATCAATGAAATAAATAATTCTTTGTATAGCATTCTTACTTACGGATTTATATTCAGCGCACAGAAAATTATAAGAATTAATTTTCTTTGTTTTTTAAATCGCCATGCATATTTGTGCAATTAAATATTATTATGCTTTCTTTAATTAAAATGCGAGACATGAAAATGATTTAACTTTTTACGACAGTTCTTACTATAGTAAAAGAAGAAATGGTATTTCAGCTGTAGTTCGAAATACGTCATTACTTCAAATTAATTAATATTAGTCGCGATTTAAAGAATTATCTTCTTACACTCTTTAGCGTGTATTTTTATCACGCTTATCGATTTTGTTTTTAATCCCGTCGAAATCTTCTAATGATTTGAGAATTCGATGTACATGCAATTGTAATTAAAACGCCAGGAAAATCCTGCCTTGAAATTCGCACAGTAAATCGATTCGCTGCGTTCTCGATAGGTAACAAACAAGGGCGATGAGGACAAAGGGCCACGAGAATGCCGATAGAATTTCGTGGTACCGAAATACGTATCCTAGAGTATATACGTAACTGCGGGCGAACCGCATAACGAAGGAAGCGTCTCGATCCGAGTTTCTTCCTCTTTTCTCTTTGTCTTTTTTTCTCTCGTTTCTTTCTTTTTTATAGAAAGAAATAGAATTCAACGTACCCAGCGGTCGATTTACGAGGTAAATAAATTTCACTGAGAGCGAACGGGGGAAGGAAGAAACGAAATCTGCCGCGTGTCGTCGTTTACTATTTCCACAGGCGGTCGACCGGCTGGCCGGCCAGCGCTGATCCCGCCGGGGCCATTATTATCGAACGCCGCGAAAGATGCCAGAGACAATAGCCTGAAAAGATTGGAAAGAAAAAATACGAATTCTTCTCTCTTTTTTCCTTGACCGCGGGAGGGCAAATGCACAGCGCTTTGCGCATGAAATCCACTCGGGTTTCTAGAAATCATGAGGCGAGACAGACGCTCTCAATCTGGGAGACGTCTGAGAGATACACGGGTCATCCCAGAGGTAACATTTGCTTTCTTTGTCCGTGGATTCCTCGTCTAAATTGCAGTTGATCTTTCTCTAAGGATATTGTGAAGAAATACCACTTTTTCAAATTTCCTTCAATTCGCAATATCGAATTAGATGTTGGTAATTGGAAAGATCATTAAAGTATAGCCGGAGTATTTATATATTTTCGTTTTGGACATCGTTGTCAAAATCTTGCCACATATGTAACACGTAATTACGTTTAAAATTTAATTTGTCTCAAAATATTTTTATATGCCTAAAGAAACATTTTTTAATACACTATTCAACAATTTTCTGAAAGAGTTCGTAAAAATAATTTAATGAAATTATTAAGGCTGCGACGGAATTAGATTTTCTGAAAAGTTTCGATAATTATAATTACATTATTGTAGAAAATTGCAGTTGCGTGACACACGATTCAAGAAAGGCGATTGTGTGCCATGTGTTCTTTAATAGGTTACGAGGTAGATTGGTAGCGCGTACGAATGCACGCGAGATAATAGAAGACATGGGGAGAGAAGGAAGCAGAAATTACAAAGTATTCATCGATTCTTATCGCAAAGTGGTCGACTATATCCCGTTTACGTGCTTTAGCGAAAGAGGCGATTGTCTTTTTATGAACGCTGCGGCAAAAGAGGGTAATCCAGAGTAATCTCATAAGGCGTTTCTGCACGATCTTTCTAAATGGAAACATAAAATCCATCGTGCATCTCTTTTGATATTGTTTCCAAATTTGTAAATAGAAAGATCTTTATTTCCGTGAAGATACTTTCCTCTATGTATCGTCATGTCGTTGTATCCGTTTTCTACTTGTCTTACAACGCAAAAGCTGGGAAATATTCTTTTGAAAATAAAAATTTTTCTAATATTAGGATTAAAGAAGAAAGAACTTGTGTCTTTATCCAGGAACTTACAATTAGTGCTTTTTATTACAATTTGTGATTCACGAAATTGATTAAATATTGTATTTCAAAAATTATGAAGAGTTCAGAAATTTATAATTTTGGAAATGGGTGTATCGTTATTTGTATCCTTTTTTAATACCTAATACACAAATTACATATAAAAATCTACTTTTATACATATTTGTCTGTTCTTTTTCTCTCTTCTTTTTTTAAACTAAGTGTGTGCCACAGATATTTTTATTTTTTAAATGTTTAATCAATTTTGTGAGAAATTGTAAGATGATGTATTTTAGCTACATGTGCTTCAATATCATATTTTCAATGATATTGATTTAAACCTTTTCTTTGCTTCTTGCAGGCATCTGCAGGACAAATTGCCCTTCATTGACCGTACCAGAACGGCGATATGGGGCTGGAGTTATGGTGGATACGCGACCGGCATGACGCTCGCTATGGACTTAAAGGGTGTCTTTAAGTGCGGTATGTCCGTCGCACCAGTTACAGATTGGGCCCTTTACGGTACGTAATTGACAGGTAATTTATAGAATAAATAACGCAACACATAAAGATGTTTGATCTGATTTCAAGGGAAAATGTTTTAGCATCGTAAATCAAAATTATCTTGCGACAGAATGATTCCATGTATAATTCATTAAATTAGACTATGCGTTAACATAACAGAGTCAGTTTGCGTTTAGCAGTAATAAGAAGTAGGAAAAGCAAAAAATCCTAATAAACGAACAAAACGAAAAATATACCGTGATCTATAATTAGTGCAAAAGCTAGAAAGTATTTTCTATAAATATTTCGTAACATTAGAGTTAAAGAAATTTAATACTTTTTGCTGACTAATAAATAATTAAAATGTAATATAAATAATAAAAATTTAAGTAACTATAATAAATAATTAAAAATTAAATCAGGAAACGATATAATAATAGTTACACTTAAATCGATAAATTCTCGATAATATTTCTATACTGAGCTAATCGCCATTGAACAATTTGTTTTACATATTTTCTGCTCATTTTAAATCATTTTAAATATATAATAAAAGATAGAAAAAGTAATTAATAAAAATTGGAGTGTTTAATCTTTATTTTTTCCGATATTGCTGCAACAATAACACGCGTAAAGTATAATATTTTTCCAGCTTGATATCCTTCGAGTAAACGAACATTGTTAAGAAAGTTTACTTACGGAAAATGCAGCTTTGCAGTTTACATAAAATGACTTAAGCTCATTTGGCCTCGGGATTTGTCTAAGAATTTTTTACGCACCGTCGTTTTAATGAAGAAAAGTGTGCACTCTGTGAAAAAAGACAGGCGCTCCTGTGCAGCTTTATTATTACTTTTTCAACTACTTTAAATTCGTGTCAGCATTTACCTCCGTCTGTTAGAACACGCGAGAAAAATACACGTGATTTACAGGATGACGTTAAAAAGACTTATGCAGCGTCACACTTGTGCAGTTTCTTCATAAGATATTATACGCCACATAACGGCATAGATAGTTTTTTTCGCCCTTTTTCACCCGTTATCATTGTTAATGCGACCATGTTAATTGTTTAATTACAGATTCGATTTATACCGAGCGGTTCATGGGTCTGCCAACCGTTGCCGATAATCTACAAGGTTACGAAAATGGTCAGCTGCTCAATAAGGTCGAGAACATCAAGAATAAAATGTATTATTTGATTCATGGTACTTTGGATGACAACGTCCATTATCAACAGTCGCTTATGCTCGCGAAGGTGTTGGAGCAGAAAGACATCCTCTTCAGACAACAAGTACGTCCCCGTTCTTGACAAAGAGATTGAATTAAAAATTATATCTAAATATATCGCGAAATCATCACAAAAATCTTTTGCAGACATACACGGATGAAGATCATGGTATCGTCCAATCGCGAGCGCATCTATACCATTCGCTGGAGAACTTCCTGGACGAATGCTTTCAAACGTCATCATGATCGGAACACGGAATAGTGATGACAATCTAGACGCTGTACACCACCTGCCTCACACTTGTAAATATGTCACGTGTACATAGTTTATGTACGATATGTAATATGAGCGTTTAGAGAGTGTACATAGTGGTGTGTGCAATTGTTGAGGAAGGATGGAAAAGAGAGAGAGAGAGAGAGAGAGAGAATACATAAAATATGAGAAGAGTTGGAATAGTTAATTAGGCAGTATCGTCGTGAAATTAAGCAAGACAGGTCTGTAAAAAACACAGTTTGATACGTTTTTTAAAGTATAACGTACTCGATCAAATGGTGCGTCGAAGGCCTAATAACGGCACGAACTCCGTCGCTTCGCCGTTCAGACCTCACTAGAATGTATTCCGTATCGTTACACCTCGTACTTACATTCTCAGCACACAGGCGTTGTTCAAACGTAGTATAGCACATGAATCGTTATTTCTCAGATGGTCGAATGAACTAATTGACTTGATATCAGTTTGAATAGCAAAAAAATATAAGATACAATCCTTCACGATTTAATTCTTTCACAATATACTTTCAATGAGAGAGTTCACAATTTTTATTATTTAATAAAATTTTATTTATAAATTTTTACGTATAAGTATATCGTCAAATTAATGAAAAAACGATATTTAATCAGCAAGTTGTTTCTTTATCATTAATTAATATAAGTCATTTAGTATCTAATCTATGTCAAAACTTCTTTCTTAGGATTTTTCTCTACAAATGAAAAAAAATGTTTTTTTAAATTTACACCAAATTAATCACGTACACTATCAAACATCAATAATAATTTGACCATCTGGAATAACATGCTTTGTATTTATGTGTGTATTAGATTTATTCAATATATGTGTGTGTGTGTGTTAAATTTATATTTTTGTGGTTAAAATTACGTCTTCTATTTAACGAAATATTAAGTTGACATATCAAAATGTTCACATATATGAGTTCAGCCATCTTGATAAATGAGATCTTGTAACATTTTTGAAAAAAATATGATTTCAATATTGCACACACGCACGGACACATATGTATATTTTACTTTCAAACATTAGAAAAAAGTATGCTCAAGATGTAATAATTTATGCAACTTGAAAGTCATGGAAAAATATTTTTCATATTACAATTGCAATTAAAATTGTTAAAATATATTTAACGTTTCAATGTTTGAAAAATACAATATATGCAAAATAAATTGTTATATCTATAAATGGATGTGTGGAATCATGAAATTTACTTTAAGTTGATACATAAATTAATCCTTCTTTCTCTAATAATATGTTGTTCCTCGTATAAAATATATATGCACTTCCTATTACATTTTCCAAAATGATAAAATTAAAAAGCGAAGGTACGTTGTGTTGTACTGTAAACACTTTTCGACAATAATACTATCAATGATATTCTGGGATTAACAATTGAAGGATTTTCTACAAAAAACCAAATAAATCCATTATCTGAATTCAGAGTTCAGACCAAATCGTTCTCTAACAGTAACATCATAAATAATCTTGGTCTAAGAAAAATGAAACAGCAAACGGGAAATATAGGAATTTAATATTTGTAAAGAATGTTTTTGTGACGAATAATTTATAAAATTTTATAAATGAAAGGTGAAAAAGTTATTATATTATTACTTTTATATATTATTTATACTTTTATTTTATGCCGTTTCTTAGTAATATTGTAAACTAGAAATTTATTAATTAAAAAGTTTTATTACCGCTCGATTTAGACCGTTTTTTCTTTGTAGTTCATTTTTTAAGTATTTTCTTTTACCTTCATAATTATTAATGTTATTTAAAAAATTAAATTTACACTATTATGGGCTAAATGGATAGTGAATATAAAATTTATGTAAGAACCAAGTAAGTTCGGAGGCTCTTTGGGAGATTTTTTTGGAAAATTTTTAATGTTTTTCTTAAAATGTTATATGTAAAGCCTATATAAAAAAAAATAAAATTTTATTTTTATATCTATTAGATGCCCAATCAAAAATTACTTATTATATTATTTAGACTTCATGGTTTTATGAAAAATCCTTCAATTATTACGGCCTACTTGAACGCATTTACATTTGAACTAACACCTGTCAAATCAAATAATAATAAAATATATTATAAATTTGAAATCTCGATAACGACTCTTACTATACAAAATGTGCTAAATGATTTTTATTTTAATGCAAAAATGAATTTTCTGAACTCATATATGTTAATTATCTTAAGACTCTGGAATACTCTGCAAAGATATAAAACTTTTATGTCTGAAGAAGCAAAAAAGTTATTAGACATTGATCACTCTGATAAGTGATATTAAACGATCGCTAATGCTATATAATTATATATCGTGCTAATTAAATAATCATCGACATAATAAAAATTGTATTATATAAACACAGTTTTGTCAACAACTTTACAACATTCGCCGACAATGTAATCAATTAATGTATGAAAATCAAAATTTTGTGTGGAAGCCAATCAATTTTTGAGATATATTTAGGAATGTCCTCGAAGCGTAATATATTTTCACAACACTGTTTGATCAACTGTTATAAGGTTTGTAATTTTTATGAAAGTGCGACAATGTAAGACGCTGTATAATGACTGAAAATTATATAGAAAACAGTAACCAAATTATACTTTCAGAATTGACGATAACGTACACGAAAGCAATGTTTTGTATAATGCTCCGTTGACGGAAAAAAAATTTTTACGAAAAAGTACAGAAAAACTACATAGATTGATAAGATCTTAGAGAACCTTAATTTTTAGATATTCGTAATGGGACGTAAAGTGAGATTTGTTTATTTTAGAAAATTTTAGTTTTTCCTAGATATTCATAATGAGTCGAAGAATGGCGTTGTTTTAAGACAGAATTCTTGGTTTTTCAAACAAACACTACACTTTACATCGCACTACGAATAACTAAAAAAAACTAAGAATTTCTAAAGTCTTGTCTCAATCTATGTAGTTTTTCGTAAAATTTTTTTGCCAGAGATAGGTAGGTAACATATTATTTTTTGTATCTCTACAAACCGTTGCACATTTTGAGTAAGGCATTTCATTATATAAAAATAATATGTACAAAGACATTTCCATAAAAAGATTATATAATAAAAGCGTATGATAATATGCACAGTTATTAAAATATGTTTTTTATAAAACATATATACTTTATGCTATGGAATATATAATATTAGGAGTATAATCGCGTTTGATAACTACATTGTTACAAAAATATTGATCTTAATATTATTTTAATATGTAAAAATCTTTCGAATAAGAAACGTGTTAATAATAAGATTCTATCATTTATGAGATCTTTGAAACTAAGATAAATTATATGAGATTATTAAATAATTTTAAAATATTTCACAGTTTTTTTAAATTTTGAATTTAATTCTCCATTTTTTATTTTTTATTTTGCAAAAATTTTATAATGAAATTAATTAAATTCAAGGTAAAATCAATTCAAAGTTTCTTAAAAGAGATAGATTTTAAAAAAGATTTTTTTAGTTCTCATTATATTTTAATTGTTTGAAAAAGCAATTTATATGTTTCATATATCAATTTAGTTATTTAGTTAAAAATTTTATTTTTCTACATATTTTAACTTGTACTGTGGGTATACCAGAGTGTTAAGAAAGTGCAATTACATCACTTTGTATCACATTTGTATATCTATAGTTTATATGTAATGCATATAAAAAATTAAATACAATTAGTTTATTGAAACACTTTTTCTTAACCTAAATAGCATATCTACTTCTTATTATTGTTAGACCATGGACAAGTATTAGTGCTAATGTGTAAATGCATACCTAGGATAAGTAAGGAACTATCGACAAACTTCTCTATTAAAAGTTTTTTAATACAAGGACCACAACAATTTCAGAGTGGATCAAGGTGAATTTATTAAAATAATTGTTAACTTTTATCCCGCCATGCGCATTGTATATATACAGAATTACTTACTTGAACACTTAATTAAGGTAACAGAGCATTGTTAGAAAGAAGATATTGTGACCCAGTAGAGTTATAAAATTATGACAAGTGTACTCTCTTTCACCACTATTTGTTGAGTGTATTATGAATAAAGCTCTATGTTTTATTAAAGTGGAGTATTTATCTCTTGAGATATATAACTCTCAAAAACTTTCTCACTGTATACCCTTATGTATAGATAACAGATTTTAATAAAAATATACGTATAATATATAATATATAAAAAATATACTGAAATATTGGTATTTCTTCCTTTAATTATTCTATACAGTATATAAATAATGTAAGTTTTCTACTTAAAAAAAAAAAGAAACAAGAATCACATGTGTTTTATACAATATTTTTTATAAAATATTTTAAGAATTCTCTGTTATCTTGAATCTGCAAATAAGATGATTTATTTATTATTAATAAAATACTAGCAAGATAAAAACTTGGTTTAATATAAAAATGTCTGAATGCTAAGTCAGTAATAATTGCTATATACGGATACGAACTTGCACTTGGTACATGTGAAAAATACAGTTTGTCCTTCGTCAGTAGACCTCAATTACAAATTAAATAACACATTTTATTATTATGACACTGAAGAGATTCTCGTTAGTCTATCGACATCATTCACTATCATCCTCGCTTTCTTTGGCAGATACATAAGTATGCTTCGGTGTTAAAATGGATTTCATGTATCATTCCCATATCGCCAAAAACTGGAAGATAATAAAGAATTAATGTAAATTTTTCATTATTTCTTAGCTTGAATATAAAAGATTACTAACAGATTTTTTTTAATTATATCATACAGTAGTAGTAATGTAAATTATCATACAGTAGTAGTAATGTAAATTATCGTACAATGTATTATTTTTTATATTAAAAAAGGTATTCATTTAAAGCGTATACCTTCTCTCAGCATCCCATTCTCTTTTGCATTGTGTAACATGTAACTCCTTTTTCCCCAAGCAAAGATAAAATTGAACTACAGTTTGGACAGAAGCTAGATACGGTAATGAAGGAATTATTATTTGCCATCATTTAATATATATATTTAATCAAGACACGATTGATTGAGAAACGAATATACTTTTTTTACTTAAAAATGGTAACTATACAGTTCAGTTGCAGCAGCTCAAAAATCAATAAAATTAGGCTCATTCGACGCGTTTTTACATGAAACGAAAGAATCTAGCAGAACTGAACATTGCTTTGCCTCACAAATCGAGATATTATGCGTCAAAATTAACGACTCGGCATTAGCAGTGAATTTGTGTTTGTAAAGTAGAGAATTTGTGTAACTATACGACAGAACGTATTGTAAAGTATGAGTGTGCAAATTCGTCGTCTTTTTTTTTGTTAAAATTCAAAAGATTGAGATTGTGGATCACGGAGTAACGTAATATACGATTGGAGTATAACGGGTAATCAATAGAGGAACTAAAGCCACGTCTTTTAACTACGATTACTGACTTTATTCTTTTATTGATTATTACAAGAGCACGGAACTGAAGAGTCGGATTACAGTTTTACAAAACGGACGAATAACGATGGAAAAACGTGTGGCTATGTCACGTCTCGTACCGAAGTCGTTGACTCGAACGTGTCACGCATTTCTCGCTCAGATTATTCTCGCATTCCGGAGCAGGAGCGCTACATTCGTCGAACTAATGCTGCTGCAATTTGGAGTAAATCAGAACTCTGACAGATGTCAGGTGTTTGCAGGCGGTCAAGCGATGTGTGCGTGCGCGCTTACGTGCGTGCGTGTGTGACGGAAAAGGAATTTTTATTCTGCGAAACTATTACGAAAAAAACATTTACGAAAAATTTTTAATTCACACGGGCGAAATGAAGCGTTTAAAATCACAATTTTCTTAAAGGGACGTTATTTCAGATTATTAGATTTGCGTTTCAAGACCGACGATAGTTCGGCGCGCAAGCTGGGGAGAAGTGAGGGGTAATACATATATTATACTATAATAATAAATATTACGAAGAATATTACTACGTCGATCCGCCATCAGAGGTCGATATTCGCAAATTCTCAAAAGTGCTTTGACATGCGTATATCTCTTTATATAGATTCTCGATTAAATAACTTTCCCAGGCGTCTAAGGTAGGCTTCCACTACAATGCCTTATACTGATGAGTCCAGTGGAATTAAGTAATATTCTTCGCAATATATTAAATTAATTTAATAGGATTTTTAATGTAATTTACTGGCTCATATTGCCCTCTTTATATTATTTATTACGAAAAAATTAAACAGGAACGAAAACGTTAAAAATGCTAGTTTTATTGATAATACAGGCGGCTCCAGTATCTCCTTAACTTTAAGGTGATTTTGGATCCTGCCTGTATTATCGATAAAACTAGCATTTTTAACATTTCCTGTTGAAAATATCCGAGCTAATGTATCTGCCCCTGGTGTATATTGTGTCCAAAGCTGGAAAAAGTATGAAATTACAGATTTCTTTATCCATTTTTATCTTCAGCGTTGGTCGCCATATTGAGATTAAATGGATAAAGAAATCTATGATTTCATACTTTTTCCAACTTTGGACACAATTAATATATACACCAGGGGCAGGTACATTAGCTCGGATATTTTAATCGTGGAGAAGGAATTTTTGTTCTGTAAAACTACTGCGAAGCAGGAACGAAAACGTCAAAAACGCTTGTTTTATCGATAATACAGGCGGGTCCAGTATTTATGAGAGATAATATATTCATGATTACCCCCCAGACATTCTGTATAAATGTATAACTATGATATTTTATCTTTGACTACATATATGTATAATATGTAAAATTATTTAAAAGTTTTAAATTTTTTTATAATAAAGATTCTACACAGTTTAAAGCAGAATTATTATAATAATTTATTACAAATAACATAAATAGATAATTTTATTATAATATATTTTGGATTTTTTTTAAACTTACGGTAGATGAACACAATAGGGAAAAGCGATTCACTTGAAAAAGAAATGGAACATAAGAGACAATTATGCAAACATGATGCCTGCAGAAGGGGCTGGCGGTTTTTGGGATTGAAATGCAGAAGTTGAAATGAGCCATGAATTGTTTGTTGCCCTTTAACGGTAGCGCAATTTGCAAGTAAACAACCCATTAAGCTCGATTCGCCGCGAGCTACATTGTATTCCCAGAGGGATATAGTCATTGTTTTCGCGCGTACACTTCTTACAATAACTCTCAGATATTCCATAATTTTCTTCGGTAAAGGCACTTTGTGGAAATTATCTTAATATAAAAAATAATAAACAAAATAGTTTATCGCATTACTTTTTCATAACTGTATTTTTTCTATCTGAAGTCGCGTAATATCAATTTTACAACTCATTAGTCACTAATTTTATGTATGACCGAAAAACGTTTATAAAACGTGTAATTATCGCACATTAACTTGAAATACTGATCATTCTTTACGTGAACAGAATAAAAATAAACACTGTTTTCAATTTAATATATTTTACATCGTCATTTAGTCGTTTGTGAATAAGAAGTGCTCTATCCATTTTGCGTCGATTCGCAGAAATCGTGAAATTCTGGGTTGATCAGCGGGCTCAGTTGGTTCCGCATTGATTCAGACTGCGTTCACAGTGCATTGCATAGGGTCCCACGATGAAAAGGCGTATCACTTTTTGAATGTATTCCAATTAAAAAGTCAGAGCTTCGTTACAGTCTTGCCCCCGAGCCGTCGTTCACCCTTCTCACCTTTTTTTCTGATCCGAGGCCGCCGACCTCTTTTACCACTGGTTTTCGCCTTTCATCAAGACAGAAAAGACGAAGAAAAGAAAGAGAAAACAAGGAAACCGAGAGAAATCGATACACAGATTTTTCTCCTGTAATTACTTCGCTGTCTGCTCTAAAGAATTAAAAGCTTCTGAGCACCGCGCTTTCTTCATTCTTACATTTCTTTCTCACGCTTTTTGATTATCAAATAATCTAAATGAGGAAATTTATTTGTCATTTCCGGTAAGAGTTTATATGATAAAAACAAAAGGCACACATAATAAATATCTTTTATCTCTTTAATTCAATAATATTGTTCAACTCAAAAGTATGCATAACTGTGCAGTAATAATTTCTTTGTTTTTTTTGGCGCTAAATATAATACGTTCTCTTTTAATAAGTTGTTTTATCACATCACAATTTTAAAAAATTTGCGACTTTAAAAGTGAGCTTTTTAATATATTTTGATTCAGTATATTTTGAAGAATATTTATTTGAATATTATTTTATCATTATCATTGGATGTATAACAAAGATAAAATGACGCAATAGCGCTGATAGTGCATTTCCGAAAATATAGTACTCAAATAAATTTAAAATAACGGAATCAAATACAGTAGACGTAAAAATTTAAAAATACTCGAATTTTTTTAATAATTAATATTAGATGATTTTTATTATATAATTTTTCTTTAGCCTCGCTAATTTCTCATTTTAAAGTTTAAGATAACTTTAAAACCTGATGTAATGGAATTATTTGGTTAGCGATATTGTTTTTATAATGAAAAATTTATAAAGAACGCTTACTATCATGATAATTACTTAACATAAACTTTTGTAGCTTATCGTTCTTGGAAGAAAGTTGTATTAAATAATGTAATCATAGTTCATGATCATAGTGATTGGCGAACAACAAGAGGATTATGCACTTCTGAATGTTCAATCAAGAATGTAACAAAGTTACGTAAAACAAGGCGAACAATTTCTTTACCACGTACAGGAGTCATCCCTCATAGTGAAGTATTTAACGATGCACTATAAAGACAAAGCTAGCCGAACAGGAATAAAAAGCACGTGCCCAAGTGCCAACACGACTTACGCACGTACGCGCGTGTGTGCGACTATTCGTCGCAATACAATACGCACGTGATCGAATGCCACTTGTCTCACGTATTCCGATTATTAGAATAGAATATACGCCTTTATCAAAGCCAAGAGGGAATTAGAATTCTTCTTGGATTTGATGAAGGCACATATCGAACTGGAGATAGATAAAAATATTAACGTACATACGAAATTATGTAACTCCCCTACGAATACTTTCATATTATTTTCGAGATAATATCTTATATAAAAGATTACACATATGTCATAATGTTATATAGGAGTATATTATAAATTTACTTATATCGTTCTTATAGTACAAGCTGCAATAGTCTAGATTCACTATTTGTCTAAGGAACGCTGTATAATTCATTATGCTAAAATAATTATGCGAGGACTCCTATTTATTTTATTCTCTGAGAAAACAGGACACGTAAGACTTGAATAGTAGAGTTGTCCTTTTGGATAAAGAAAAAAATAAAGAACAACATTTTTTTCTTTATCCATAAAATTTCACATCCGAAATTGAATCGCAAATCGATGCTTTTCACGTTGAGCATAATGGGAACCGTCCGAAATTTTTTTATTTTGAATATTGTAAAAATACCTTTCTATTTTCTTACCAGTCAGTACAAGCACCGTTAAACTACTCAACATGTATCGATTTATTACGCAGTTATTCGTACTTGGTCACGTGTCTATCGCCACGTGTATACTTTATACTTATAAGAACATATATCCGGTAATAAAAGAAGATAAAAATTTTAAATAATAATGAAATGTACTGGGCCACTTTGCTTTTGCCTTCAAAATTGCTTGAATCAGCTACAAGGGACAATAAAAGATTCGTAGTCAAATTGGAGATGAAATTTATGAATTTATTTCAGACAAAGAAATATAAATGAATACAGTTCTCCGTTTAGACGCTATTTGCTGCTATATAAAAAATGTAAAAAATTAATTTGTATTACAATTTTCTACATTTCAAATAGCATTTAATATACATATAATATCTACAGAAAACTATATTCATTATTTCGCTTTCTGAAATAAAGTTATAAATTTTGTTTTCAGTTTAATCATACATTCTTTAGTTCTTAATCAAAGCAGGAAGTAAGGTATCAATGAAAACTAACTTACACTGAAATTTTTGATCGAATTGAAGGCATGGTTTTTAATAATAATTTATTTATCTACAATAACCTTTTATTTCGGAAAATGTATTCAATAAATATTATCAAGATGACGAATAACAACAATCAATTAAACCAAATTATTTTATATATATATATTATACTATCAAGGAAAAAAAACTTTTTTAAATCGGCTTTTCAGGTCAAAAGCTTCCATTTCTTTCACACATGCTGAAACAACACTTTTAAATTTTTACCAAAAAATATTAAAATTTAAAGGTCGCTAATGAATGATTTTTAAATCAAATTTTTAATTTTTTTTAATATATATATATACATGTCCAATGGACATGTATTAATATTTTTGATAATAATTTAGGAATGTTTTTTGGCATGAAATGGAAGCTTTTGAGCTAAGAAGCTGACATAAAAAAAATTTTTTCCAGATAATATCTAATATATATATGCAGAGTATTCCGGAGTTAAATAGCCCCAAACTTTAAATATGAATTTAGGATTTTAAAACAAACAAAATTTTTCTGTAAAAGTATGCTCGCAAACGCTTCGTTCAATGTCGGCAATTTTCATAAACATATTTGTAATTAGCGCATCAAAATACAGCATAGTATATCAATCAACAACAAAATCCGAGGGTTCAGTTTGAAATTTTATCTCATATATTGGTGTATATTCTATTATTAATACGTACGAGACATGATTATAAGTCTATTCCACAAAAGATTTTTTAATTCATGTTTAAAGTTTAGCCATTTAACACGAGAACCCCTTATATAATAGCGCTCGTCTTAATTACTTATGTGCTCAAACATTACACATTAGATAATTAATAATAGATATTATTTTCATTTACATATCGAGATTACATTACTTAATTACATTAGATTCTAAAATATCTACGAATTGTTACTAAGGATTGATTGTATGTATGTATGTATGTGTGTGTGTGTGTGTGTGTGTGTGTGTGTGTGTGTGTGTGTGTGTGTGTGTGTGTGTATGTGCGATCAATGTTACTTTAACTTTAAGCAAATCTTGAAACTTTCACTTTCTCTCTTTAAAAGAGAGAGAGAAGAGAGGAAGATATAGAGAGTGTCAAGCCTATCTTGCCTAAAGTCAAAATAACATTGGTGCAACCGAATCGAAATCGCATAACTTATTAATTGTCAAATGTTAAACCTCTGATTCCAATTTATGTATATTACGAAATCACAGCTCATTCTTTCTTTCATGACAACTGCAGTTGTCCTTTATTTATTCTTTAAATGCAATGTATTAATATCGCATCCATCGTGACACGTTATAATGGTATCGTAACATTATTATAGTATTAACTGGAAATTATTATAATATCAACTGGAAATGGAAATTCTAGCAAAGATGATGTAAACTTCGATATTAGTGTTAAATGTTATACTGAATTCGATATGTGAAAGATAAGTTGCTACGACTACTGAAATTCCGTAATTATATATTTACATACTTTTTTACTTTTATTTAATGTCATGGAAGAAGAAACGTAAAAAAGAAACGATTACAGGCTTTATATAAACACAAAAATATTGATAATATTTAATATATTATAGAAGAGACTTGCTGAGATTTGATAGTATATATCATAGATGTAATTAAAGCAGGATAATTACAATTCATGTTTTTGTTCCTTTTATCTTACAAAATTTTTAAAGCAGAGCAATATTTCCATATTTTAAATATAACATCATAAAAAAGCGATAACGTTAAAAAGACAAAAAACAGTAGTATATAGATGTCTTTCTCATTAATATACTGATCGATTTGTTGATGCAAATCTTTTCAACCAATTCACTAAAAATTTGGGAAACTCCGAAATAACAAAAGATGAATCGAAGTTTTTTTTGAAAACACTGAGTTAGACTAGCACCCACAGCACAAGTAGTTCGTCGAAATGTTTCTTCAGATCTCTAGGCTAAATTTCTCGTTCTGATTCAGAAACAATTTTGAGATCTTCAAAATTACACGTGTTAGAGGGGACAACCAGGGACATAGGTGACGTTCCGAAAGAGTGCAGCCGCTGTCGAGAGAAACGCTGCCGTGGAAGCGGTGGATGCTGCTGACGACGACGACGGCGGCAGTGGTGGCGGATGACTGGTTTGCGTTTGTGAGTTATATGGTGAACAATATGCATCCATGCTGCTGTGATGAAGACCCACGCTGCGTACCAGAAGATCTTTCTCAACAGTAGCTTGATGACGCAGCTGCTCCAATCGTAATTGGTTCTGCCGTTTCCACTTCGTCCTGCAATGAAATCGCGGTGGCGCAAAGCTCCTGCCAGTCTTATCTCTTTATCATATGGTAAATTTTTGTCTACCTTCTGTTTTGGTACCAAGTCTTTACTTGGGTCTCTGAGAGCGATAAAGCGTCCGCGACGTCGCTGCGATCCGCAACACTGAGATATTTCTGACAGCGGAACTTCCTTTCGAGATAAGCCAACTGAGCGTGAGTAAAAGCGGTTCGCCGTCTTCGTGGTTTCCTGCTAGTTGGTGGTGCGCTATTGACCATCACCCCACAAGATTTCCCAGATGTCGTTGCCAAACCGGGCGATGGCGAAAGCGCCGGTGGAGGACTTCCTAGACGCGTGCAAGGGCTGCTGCCAGGATCGATAGTGTCTTCGGAATCCGAATGAACAATCGAATCGTTCTCCGAGTCTTCTGCAACACGTAACATACACTGAGAAGAGTGATTTGATTACATCAACCAAATAATTTCGTTAATTTCGAATTGATTATTTCCGCCCGCCACAGCCACAGCCAAATTACTTTTTATCGTATTGTCGCGTAATAATTTGTATCGGGTATTTTTGATATATCGTGTAATTTAGATTTCTTGTAGTATTCTCGCATACCTATGCATCTCTGAAATTTCCGACGTAATAGTTCTTGGGTTTTTGCGGTCGAAAGTTCGAGATCAGCTTTGTTTACGCGCTAACAACGATTATTGTAAATTGTTTAATGAATTATGTTCTAATCTATAATATCATGCGCGAGCTCGTACCATGTCGAGAAGAAGTTCCCCTACAGTTAATATCACATTGTCAAAAATATAACCGGAAGAGATACTAAAGCTCTGTCAACTAATTCTTTCTCGAATATCACCGCTATCCAAGGAACACACCAAGTCAAGAGAAAGTAAAAAATACGTACTTTGACATCAAAATAATGATTTTTGGTTAGAAAATTTGATTGTATATTGACTTTAAGCATCAAAATAAAGTTATTTTAACGTTATTTTGATTTTTTGTTGACTTTTGTATGTTCTTTCGATAATTAACTACCCAGCGTGTACAAGAAACTATACATGGTTGATAGAATATATTTGTTACTATTTTGTTATTACAAATTCTATGTATTTAATTGCTACGATAAATTCTATTTTTGATTCCTACTCGTTTTCCTTCGTCCTTCACGAACCACCCCCGACTCTCTACCAACACCGTAGCTGCGAGCAGTCGGTTATCAGAGCCGTCGGTGTTCAAGATTCTTTTGAGCTTGTTTCAAATAAATTTCCATTAAATCCGCGAAAGAATGGCATCCTCTCTCATATCTGGCGCCCAATTACTGATATTGTAGATTAGACTAATAAAATATTAGACTATATAAATTCTTTTTTTTAAATTATTTCATGTAGCGTTTGTTCTAAGTATTTATCTGCGAAAGCTTCAGAAAGTATTAATCGTGAACGCACGACGAAATTGCATCACGCTCGTGAATGCGGCCGCACTTAACGACTATCTGAAATATTCGATACTACTGATTGTGATGATGGTTGGTTTGCTCAAAAGCACATTCTTTTAGTTGAAAATCTGCTTCAGTTACCTCTTGTATTTGAAGATCCTGCCTTTATACTCTTAACAGATGCAAAAATTCATGTATTTTAAGTGCTACTCATTTATAGACTATTTTATTTGATTATGACAAATTGACGATCAGTATGCGTCAGTAAGTAGACGGATCTTATCATGAGTTACTTTTGAGAATTCGCGTTGGTTTATTAACACCTATTATAACAATCTTAAAAAAAAAGAATTCATTTTGTTTAATGATAGAAGACTATGAAAATATATCATATAAGGTGTATGCCGTTTAATGTTTGCAACACTCGCGAATGTTATTTCATTCTTCTTGTTATCAAATATTATTAAAGAATGAAATGATACACGAGAGAGCGTTGAGAATATTAAATGAATCGCACCCATAATTTGTATTGTTATCTTCGTGGTTTCACTTAATATTTCTTTTGCGAGGAAATTAACATAAAATTACCAGTTGTGAAATTACCGATGAAAATGACATACAAACACAACTTCACGTACATATGTAAAGAAATATAAAGTCAATGTTGGTAAAATGAGTGTCGATGTGACATTATTGATGAAATAATTGTGATCCGTGATTTCATACAAATCCGTTAAATAACGTTTAGGATGATGATAATATCCTCACACTAAGAATTCGTTCTGGATTTTTGACTATGGATTGTTGCTGAAGATGACTTAAGCGAGAGAGTTGAAATTAATTTAAAATTACACTATTTAACAAAATTTAATCTTTTCTTGCAACACAAATATGAATAATTATTCCGGATGTAGTTTTGTTGAATACAAATTCGTTGACGATTAGCAATTTGGAAAAAAATTACGTTAAAAAGACAAAAGTGTTGATTTTGAAGATTGTCATGACATTTTTGGCACCAAATTTTTTAAATTTCATTTTTACTATGTAAAAGTATCAACTTTTATTTGTAAAACGTATTTTGGTTCATTTTCACATGGTTTTTCATTTTCAAGATATACGTAGCATATGTGCATATATGTAGATACATACATTATATGAGAAAAAGAGCTATTTTTAAATTGATATGTCTCGAAAACAAAAAATCAACAAAACAAACCAAAGTGTATTTTAAAATTAAAAGTTGATTGTCTTGCGTGGTATTAATGAAAAAAGGATATATACTGATGTATGTATATATACACGACATGAAATTCCTTAAAATCAATATTTTTTAACTTTTTAATACCATTTTTCTCAAAATTGTGACATACTGAACAAATTTTGTCAAGGAATTCATATACAAAAGGCAAAAACACATCCTAAAAGACTATTATTCGTATTACAAAATAATGTTGTACAGTAATATTTAAAGAATGGTAATGAAAATTGAAATATGATAGTAGGATGTAAAATACACCCCATGCAAATATTTATGTTAAAAAAACCATGCGAGTAATGTAGGATTAATTACATAAAGAGAAAAGTACTTATAAAACATGTGAGACAATCTGTTCTTCTCTGCTACTGGGTATGTGTTAATAATTATTTTTCGGCTAATCCAATTGATCCAATCAGCGAATTCGGTCGGTTGGACAAAGTCTATTACTAATACAACAATCCAGTAATTCTCAATCGATCGTGATCGATTTCGGTTAGAGAAAACCATTTCAATTACCAAGACCTACTGCACCCTCTCAGGATCAGGCAATAGATTCGCAATGGCGCGCCGGGGGGTAATAACCTTCGAAAATCGTGAGACTAACAAGCTCTAACGAATCTTTCGGCGCCTCGAACCATGTGTAGAATTGTTCTTAATAGGGTACCACCTCCGAGGGGTTTAGTCTCCCTGATAGCTTCATGTCGGCGATTTAAATAATAGAAGCTCGCATCAGGGGATCCACTTTTTAATGAGAATTTTGTCGATCTGTCACGTGTTCGTTTATACTTGTAAAAAAAATAACTTAGTCATCATCACAAAATTAAGAAATGTCGTTATATCAATTGTGTAAAAGATCAAAAAATCAATATTTTTAAGACAATATTCACTGTAATTAAAAAAGCATAAGCACAATTTGATAAAATACTCGTCACTTTATTTTACTTACGAGTACGAAATATATCTTATCTTTCTTTGCGTAAATCTTATTATATTTCAATGTATAGACGAATTTTTGCTTTGAAAAACTGAATAATTTAGAAGGTTACACTATGAAGATCAAAAACCATGTGTATTTTATGAATCTTTTTAAGTAACATAAAAGAAATAAAAAATCTATTATATTTTAAGCTTCTAATTTTATGTATCTTAAACTAAACATTTTTTTTATATATTGTATTAAAGCAAAATGGTTCTTCGACGCTTATTATAGCAATATAAATATTTGTTTTATTTATAATTTAAATCTTAAAATATGTAGAATTGAGAGTTTAAACAGATTTTTAACTACTTTTATGATTTTGCTTTAAAAAATTCAAAAAAGTACGTACGATTTTTACGTTTCCAACATGGCATAACCTCTTAATATGATTTAAGAATACAATACTTTATTATAATAATTCTTCTTTTCATAAAATAACATTACTTTATTTTTAAATATTAATTGTGTAATGTATCAATTACATTATATTTTATTTATAGTTATTATATTACTCTTTACGCATTATATTTTACTTATTCATTGTGTAAATATTTATCTGTTACAATGAAAAATGAAACAAAATTAGTTGTTATTATATAGTGTATTTTATTTTAGTTGACGCACTGATTCGGTAAAAGAATTTTGAAGCATGAGTAAGTAAGACTAGGGCAAAGTAAGGTAAACCAGAATACCGTTATTTTTTAACCTGATTGTTACGATACGCGACTTTTCGCGTTTAAGGAGTCAAAAATGTTTCTACCTGATGATTAAGAGATTTATGATCACCGGCGTCGTTCGAATCCGGCGTTAAATTATAAGTTTCATATATCAATGGATAATATATGAATTCCCCAAGCTAGAGGTTGGACATTAAGCTAACAACCCTAATTCAGGAAAAAGGATCCATTGTTATGAAAACTTTATGAGAGGTAGGCCTTGTCCCGACTTTAGGATGTTGCGCCATCGAATGAATGTTACGACATCTCAACACGGTGATATGTTAAATTATATTTCATGTCCCAAAGAACACGTTGCAGGCGACAGATATCATTTTTCATCAAGAGTTATTGATGTGATAACAACAACAAGTATAAGTAATGCGTAGTATCGATTTGTAATATTTATTTTTATCGCTTTGTATATTTCCGTAGAGATAACAATTATTTTACATACGATTTTTGTAAAGCTATACATCATTTGACGCGCTTCACTAACCGCTCCAAAGCATGCTGAAAATCCGCTGCTGAGATTGTATTCTGTAACTCATTATATAGTTATATGTTCATAACAATTGCATGACGAATTACAAAATACAGGAGCTAAAATGCTTCGTAGTTCCCTTATTACGTTATTTTGGATTGCTTGTAATATCGCCGATAATCACCGTCTTTTTAGCTTCAACTTTAGCTTCGGAAATAAAAAAATATTACTGTATATTAAACACCACCCCCTGTATTCGCTAAACTTGGACCGGCGGATTACTTTTTGTTTCCAAAGCTGAAATTGAAGTTCAAGAATAGGAATTCGACGATGTCAGAACAATCTAAGAAAACTTAATGACAGAGTTACGAAGCATTTCAGTAATAGATTTCCAGTTCCAGAGCTACTAACGGAGCACGTCAAATGATGTACAAATTTTACAAAGATCGTATGTGGAATAATTAGTAACAAAAATTTATTTACAATGCTTTCTATTTTATTTATGAGCTCACTCCTAATACTTTTTAGCCATATTGTGTATGAAGAAACAGTATGTAACATGATATCTCATTTAGATGTAAAGTTTTTATGTAAACAGAAATTTTGACTTTTATAATTATCATATTACATTTTAAAACTTTTATTTATTCGCCGTTTAAAGCTTCTAATTTAATGATATACAGTACTTATTTTTAAAATATCAGGAATTTAACAAACATTTTACAGATTGTTTTGTTATTACATCTGGCAATGGAACCGTCGGAACTGACCCTCATCGATTTTAATGAGTTTTGGATATGTTGTAGAGCATCAAAGAATATTAGATACATATATTTTTTTGTGCTTATCTCGAGGTTTAAGGGATAAAACACCCTCTCTAAAAAAAATTGGATTTTTTTCATTTACTACACATCAAAAATTTATTAAAATCGGTGAGAATCAGTTCCAACGGTTCACTTGTATTTATATGTAAAATTGAAGCACAATTCTGTTATTGATTTAAAAATTGTTTAAATTCTTTATATGTCTTGATTTCTACGTAAAATCACGTTTCATAATACTCCTTTGCAAATTTCATAAAGAAGCGGTATTAAAAAATAATTAATATTTCATACATATTGTATTAATAAAATAATAATAAATATTCGCGCAAAAAAATTTGATTTTGATTCATTTTACTCGTTATAAGTTATTAAAAATACTACTAAGAAACTACAGCAAAACATGTCTTTTTGCTGCATAAACTATGGTAAACTAAATTATTTGTTGTTTTAATTTTGCAATTGGTTTCAGGTAATATTCACATTAAAATCATCAAATTTTTTTGTTATTAGCTAATATTAGTTATTTCTAGTTGATTATTTAATTGGTACTTTTAGCTAATATTGTATATTATAAGTATAGATAAACATCGTTAAGAATTAAAAATAATTAAATAATAAAGTTTTTGCTTTTAAATTAGTTATTTAATTGAAAAGCTATCAAAACAATGTCTATTTTTCTTTTAAAAGTAGTAACTTTGTAAATAATAATAATAAAATTAATATATTACAAAATTATTTACAATATATTATATTTTAAAACAAAAAAAACGTTTTTTTCTCATTTATCGTAGAGTTTATAAGACAAAATAACTTTAACTAAATGTAAAATACATAAAATTAATGTATAATACTATAGCATATCATTTGATATATTTAATTCACAATTCAGAAAAATGTGTAGCAAGTTTCACTACAATTATGAAACATGTAATGTTATTTATTTATACTGTTTATATTTTTAATTTTCACATGTTTCATACCTGACAACAGAGTAGGGAAGAATGGAATAAAGGCGTTTAAGAAAATTTATTAGTATTTTTACTTTCAATTAGTTTTTAGTTGAATGTATCTCTTGTAATTATTTATACACGTATAATAATACATTATTTTAACTAAATTTTACATAAAGAAAAACATTATATACAAAGCAATATATGTATTCTGTAGAATTCTCATAATTAAAACGAGTCTGACTTACAAACGCTCCGTTTTTTTCTTGTGTATTTAGTTTCTTTCTTGAAGAATAATAATAATATATACGTGATATTTTTATAAATACATTACATATTTAAAAAGAAAAAATAATTACGTGTTTTAATATAATTATTCAGATAATGACAGTCATATTTTTTCATTTGCAAAGAAAGAGCCAATTATTTCTTTTAAAATCGAAAAATTAAAATCTCAATATTGGAACAAATATCGAGCAATCTGTTATCTTGCGTCATTTAGCATGACTTTTGTCTATTGCGTCTTATATATAGTGATAAAGATACCTTGAACTCGGTCAGCCAATACATCCCCCAGAAGATCTCTGATCAAGAAAGATTTATGCTCCTGCATCATTGCCGTGGGCAAAACGGTGCACTCGTAACGCTCACAATAATCGATTGTTATCGAAATTGTATTTCTCTCTGACGAAACAATAATCAACAGCTACAATTTATCACGAATCGTGTGTGAACACACTAGCACTACGATAAAATCCGTAATTTTCATGCTATCGCACTGACGCTTGGCATCGTTCTGCGTCGCCGACAACCACTGTGACTGATACGAAACTTGATCCCTGATACCATCGTCATCCTTACCGTCGTCGTCAACTACCGCGGGGGTGGAACACGCACACCAAGGAAAAAAGTTAATACGCGGTTGAAAGGGGGATGTACGCGCTCGCGTACCCTTCGTACCGCTCTCCCTCGAATTAATCCGCCCGTTTATTTTGAACGGGATGCCTAATGCCCGCGCGATTTCGCAGCCATTTTGGGGGTGGAAACGCCATGCTCACTCCACCACGAAACCGGCACGCTTCCCTGATTGGTTCTCCGAGACCGGAATATGGGGGTAAAGAAATGAGTTTCAGAGGTTGCTATTGGTCGGGAGATTCTACAGCCAGTCCTTCCCATACTCGCAATTCGGTGTCTCGGTGCACGTTTCAATTTAAGTGGATCCGGTAAAGATGCAAGGGGCGGCGGAAGTTGCTGAGATGGAAGCTGAAAAGGAACATGGGAAAAGAGAAGGAAGCAGATACAGACGAGAAGGGGAGAAGGAAGTCATTGGCGAGCGATTACTGCGAAACGGGAGGAACAAATTGAATGTGAAACTTTTCCACAAGCGTATGATATATATATATATATATATAGCTGGTTTCTATGATTTCAGTACTTGAAAAGCGAATGCTTGCTGAGTTTCCGCTGTTGTCGGTCGTCTTATGGTTCGCGCTTGTTGACTTCATTACGAAAAATTCCGAGAGGACGCGGGACTCCAAAGCACAGTAAGTTATAATAATGTTCAATCATAGAAACCTCGCTTATTTAATACGGACTTTAAGGCGAATGCATCTATCGAATATGAGAAATGAGGCAACAGGATTCTTACATGTAAAATATTTTATCACCGATATATAACAAGTAGCAAATTTTAAAATTAAGAAATATGCCTGAAAAAATTTACCTTACATAGACTTGCAAATTTTTATTTACAAATTTTTCAATTGTTGAATGCAACAGCCAGAAATTCGAAGACTCAACTTGCATTAGGGTGAAATTAATTTTGAATCCAAAAGCGCTAACGTGTATAATACACATCAACACAAATATATTCTTGCACAAATATATCCTTCACAGATTGCGGATCTCTCCTCCTTTATTTCACGCGTATTAGATTTCTACTCTTCTACCCTTCTTCACTTTATTTCACGGATTAGATTGCTGAAAGTAAAAGATTTGTAAGTGTAAATACGTAATCTTAGCATAAATTTCGATGCTAAGAAAAATGGATTTATTGCATAACTAAAATAAAAATAATGTGATTCTATTTGTTAGAAACACTTTGAATAACCAAATTAATAGGAATATTGAATAATGACGCATCAAATGCTGGGTTCAGATTCCCACTCAAGTATCACCCTGCAGGTATCATTCCTTGTTGTTTACCAAACATTAAACAAGAATCCGAACATGCCCCAAGGAAATTAAGAAATTTATTATTTTCTAGGTTCATTCTTTAACATATTATTAAAAAAAAGATTTCAATGTAAAGCCAATACACGTTCGATATGAGACAATTATTATAGAATTGATATTGTAACTATTGGTAATAATACATGTAATAATACATGTATTCGACAACCAGAATTGTCAATGTTGCGTCAATATGATTTATTCATATTTGATTGTCAACAACAAACCATATTTCTGATCGGCAAGTGCTAGACTTGAATAGTGACAGCAAAGTGGATACAGGCTCTATACTTGAATTTTTTGGTGAACACCGCGTGGCATTGCATAAAATGCGTTAATGTAACACGCATCAACAATGCAGAAACACGCTGGATGACGTCAACGACATGTTAACAGCAATAATGTGAGGAACTAAAAATTCTTTGTTTCAAGAGAACCAAGATGACGCACACGTTTCGGAATTCATTAGGTTTAATGTATGCGGGAGATTAATTCAAGGAGTAGCAAAGCGGCCACGCGCTTTCTTCATAAGTGCGGAAAAAGAGCGCCAAGGAGAAAATGCCGCAGAATAAATGCATATCAGAAGGCTCATCGAGACCGCGAGAAAACAAAAGACTTGTTGAAGTTCGTGTCGATGTAAGCAACAGCGTTAATCACCATCATTAATCGGAAACACGAAAGAACAATACTGTCAAAAATAAATTATCTTTTTAAATAATATTTAAAAAATTATATGTATATATATATGTATACAGGCTTTTATATATATATATATATATATGTATGGAAAAAATGACTTGACAATAGCAGCTAAATGTTAATAATTGAATCAAACTTAGCCATAAGCTACCGCTTTGTATCATTTCTAAGCTTTAGCTATAACAGATAAAAAATATTCATTGTGGCTTGAAACTTTATTAGTTGAAATTAAAAGCATTATTAGCAACTAAAAAGATATTAGCCGTAAATTCCTTGCACGTATATTACAGAAAATACTTCATTATGTCTCTTTCAGCAAAATTTTTTTGCTACAATATATAAGTGCAAATAGCTACACTGAAAGAAAAGATTGGCTGCTGCAATAATTTAGGTGGCAAAAATATGGTATAGCATTTTTGTAATTTTGGCTACAGCATCCAATTTTGGATTATACAACAGCCAATTTTGGATCGCGTTATAGCTGCTACAATTAAAAATTGACTGCTGCAACTAAAAATTGGTGCTGCAACCAATTAAAAATACTAGATCATTCAACCAATCTTTTTTTTTCAATGTAATAAATATAGCTTGAACAATAGACAAAAGAAAAATCAAAACAACCGCTTCTAGATGGAAGAGAGGCTATAAGATGGAGATGAGAACAGCTAGGAGATGGGGTAGACTTTGTTTCGCGTGAAAAGTCGTATGCCCCTAGGCAGAGAGGCAGATGCAGCGGACCTCGCATCGTGTAGGTCATTATAAAATCACGAATATTCTGTTTTAAAAATAAAAATTATAAAAAGTTAGATAAATTATAGTGTTTTTAAAGAAAATTTTTGTTTTTAAAATAGAATAATTATTTTAAAGCGGAGAATTTGTATTTCATATATATAGTAAAAAAGACTTTATTTTTTACTTTTTTGTCAATAATATTTTAACAAATAACGGTATTAATCGTTTGTAATTTAATATTACTATATTTTCCTAGTTTATATAACTTATTTATTGTTCTTACTAGGATTTTATGTATATTATAATACATAGTTGAGGTACTATTTGCCTTCAAATGTCTAGTTACTGATAGAACTGTTTTCTCTGAGTATATGTAAATATTCTAGCGATTCCTATTCAATAAAGATAATCTAAGGGTGAAATAGCTACAAAACGATTTCTAAACAATTGCGTAATTTATAAATATCATAATGGTAGTGATTTAAAATGCTTTTTTACAGCAGGGTTCTTTATGCAGCCATGCGCATAAAAAGAATACCGCATAGAAACAGTTTATCGCATTTATCCTGTACCGGATGAAGGCAAATTAATGATAATAAGAGGGTGATTCGTATAGAATTAGCTACGAATCATCTCTCCCGCTGACTGATCGTTATCGGCAATTTGCGACGTTTGCTTCCCCGTGGGATTCAAGACCTAGGGGGGTATTCTCTCTCCATCCGTTTTACTTCTCTACACATTTGTGATGTACAAATAGGATTTCATTAGCGACAAATCATTTTCGTGATCGCACGAAGATCGACCGATATAAATAAATTAAATGTCGATAAATTTTAAGTTTTAATATAGTGTTATACTGAGATTTATCAATTAATATACAGAATGAGACATGCATCTGGCACACTAATTTGTAAACTATAAGTTGTATAAAAAACTGTTATATACAAAAGTTGCGTGGCCGAATCTGTCAAGCCTAATAATTTGTTGATCCGCGCAGTGTAGTTAATTAATTTACTATTTTTTAAAATTATAACAAGTTTATGATATTAGTTATAACAAATTTTTTTAATGTTTTTCATTTTGTTGCGATTACGGGCAAAATATTACAATATAGACTTTATCTAATTCTAAATCTTTTTAGATAGCCAATGTATCTATAACGGTAATGGAGTAATATCGGATCATTCTAGCAAATTGTTAAATGCAAATTAAAACTGCGAAGAACTGCGAAAAGAATCATGCTGAAGTGATTTCATCTAGAATAGAAGCGGCAACGCGCAGGCGACTCTCGAGTCGCGGTACAGAGGACTACAAAATCGTTAACAATCGCAGTAAGCGCAAGCGAGGCCCACTGGTGTGCGATCGCGCGTGTGAATGTAACTGCCGAGGTGAAGTTTCCGTATAAAGCAGCACCATCCAGTCCGTTCCGCTTTCGTGAACAAACATCAAACCTTCGAATTTTAAATAAAAATAGTATTTTTTAAACACGCAAAGGGAGTAATTCACGCTCTTTTCAGTTTACATCGTTCGTAGGATTTCTGAGATGATTTAGCACTTTTATTCATATTTGGATAGTTAATAAATTGAAACGTTAAGTAATAGAATTAAAAAAATTAATGATTTATAATTTAATTTAATTTAATAGAAGTACAGCGCCAATATTAGCCTCAATATAGAAGTAACAGAATTAAAAAGTTAATAATTTGTAATACAATTTAATTAATCGTAAATAACGTTTATAAATAATGTTGCGTTATCTTTCTTATATAACGCACTATCTTGCGAGTATCATTCAATATGTATTGTATCATAACTTGAATGTTATTTTGTGTACAACTATTTTTTTTTTATATAAAGGGAAGGAGACACTCTCGAAGAATAATAGTTATAGAAAAGGAGTGCTTGAACACGGACGATGGTCAGGCCCCTGCGGTTCCAATTACGATTGAAAAG